CCGGCGAAGTCACCGAAACAACAGCCATACGGGATCAAGTAAAGACGACGAAGACGAAGAGTCTACTCCCCCAAAGGCTCCTAAACGGCGAGAGAGTCTTTCGGAACTGGATCAGCTTCCAGAAGGGCGTTCGCCGCCATAGAAGTGGAGAATTTCAATGGGCCCACTTCGAATTCTTCATCCACTTATTCATCTTCCCCTTCCGGATCCGGGTCCGGGTCTCCTGCAAGGTCCGTTTCGTTGAGTCTTTCCCCAGCAAATAGTCTGAGCCCCAGAAATTCGATTCCGAAATCGCCCGACTTGATCGAGATTCAGAATATTGCACCGCCGCATCATCGGCGAATGCCCTTCGCCCCTCCGCCTAAGGAATCCACATCTCCATCGCCGCCAAGTTCATCATCGCCGGATATATTCTCCCCAAGAAGCGATGTATCATCATCACCCAGGATTTCAAACACTTCGGAACATCAGATTACAGAATCTCCGACGAGTATTACCACCCCCGTACAGCATAATACCACCATTGCTCCACCACCTCCGCCACCGCCACCGCCACCACCGCCAGTTTCTGTTCCACCACCTCCTCCACCTCCGCCGAGTAAAGTATGGGAGAGTCCACAAACTCCAACCCCTCCGAGCAAAAAGCCCGGTTTTCAGCCACCTGTTCTGGCTGTGCCCTCAAGACCGATTGCTCTTGAAAGTCCCACATTGATTTCTCCATTTGTGTTTCCCTCGCATGGGGATGTAGTATCCCCAATCTACAATGTCGAGCTCTCAGTTCAAGATGCGAAGGGAAATGACGAGAGTACCCCTAAACCAAAACTGAAGACACTGCATTGGGATAAAGTAAGGGCGAGTTCCGACCGGGAGATGATTTGGGATCAACTGAAATGCAGTTCGTTCAAGTACGAATCCCCTAATTCGTTTTATGGATCATACAATCTTCTTCGTGAGTTTAATTTTTTATTTCCGTTTGGTTGTGTTTAGTTTAGTAATCGTGCGTATGTGTTGGACTTGTATTGTGTGCAGATTGAATGAGGAGATGATCGAGACATTGTTTGTTGTGAATACTCCGAAACCTAATTCAAAGGAAACAAATAGGTGGCAGGTTCTTCCCTCGCCCGGACAAGAAAACGGTAATAACGTTCTTGATCCAAAGAAGGCACAAAATATCGCAATTCTATTGAGGGCCCTCAACGTGACTGTTGAAGAAGTTTGCGAAGGCCTTCTGGAAGGTATTCTATAAGCATCTTTTACGTTTATGCAATTTTAATCAGTTAATCGTAAACCACGATAGACTATGCACAGGATGTGTTTCGTTTCTTATATTGTTGCTGGATTCATTATTGTCAGCATATAATATTATTTATAATTATGTATAGTGATTATTCTTATTTGCCAAGAACCACAATTTTTGAAATATTGCTCTATCGAAACGTACATTTCTATACGAAACTAGGGAAAAAACATACTATCCATATTGCAAGTTTTGTAGCATGAAGCAGCTCTTGCAATATACTTATCGAATGGGCTTTTGGACAATAAAAAAAGTGCACTCATAACATGTGTTTTTAGTTTCTTTAGACGGCTTTAATGTCGAAAATAATTACTCATTTTACCTATGGAATCAGGCAATACGGATACTCTTGGTACAGAGCTTCTTGAAAGTTTGTTGAAGATGGCACCGACGAAGGAAGAGGAACGGAAGCTAAAAGAATATAAAGACGTTTCTCCTACAAAGCTTGGCACCGCGGAAAGATTTCTCAAGGCAGTTCTTGATATACCTTATGCATTCAAAAGAGTAGATGCAATGCTATACGTATCGAATTTCGAATTCGAGGTCGAATACCTCAAAAAATCATTTGCTACTCTGGAGGTATTGTTTCATACAAGCATCCGCTTTTTAGGTGTATTCTTTAAAGATATGTCGATTTGAGGCCAGAGAAGATTCAATTGTATGCTGTAATGGGATTTAAGTAGCTTAACATCAAAATGGGAAGAAATATCATTAACCAACTATAGGTACAATCTGACCATTAGTTGAGTGGATAAGCATGGTGTTCTACGGATGTGATTTTCCGTGTTTATACCAATAGACTCCTGCCAATATGAAGCCATTTACTTAATGATTAGTTGGTGCGAGAAATTCTGCTCTTCGTATTTACGTTTTTTTATATGTGATTCTGCTAAATGATGGCTAAGTCGTGTGTCCATGATAACTAGATTTGCATGTAATGTCTGCTTGAGTTTTGATACCCCGAGTTCCATTAATTTGGTATCAGTTTTATATCTCGTTTTCCTACGTCGACTTAAAAGTTCTCTTTACGTCTTACAGGCAGCTTGTGAAGAATTAAGAACTAGCAGAATGTTCCTGAAGCTTCTAGAAGCAGTGCTAAAAACCGGGAACCGCATGAACGTGGGAACAAATCGAGGCGATGCACACGCCTTCAAACTCGACACCCTCCTCAAGCTGGTCGACATCAAGGGAGCCGACGGCAAAACCACCCTCCTTCATTTCGTAGTACAGGAGATTATCAGAAGCGAAGGTGCCCGTCTCTGTGGTGCACACCACAGCGACGAAAACCCCACCACCACAAACGAAGATGCCAAATGCAGAAAGCTCGGTCTCCAAATAGTCTCGAGCCTCACTTCCGAGCTGTCAAACGTCAAGAAAGCTGCCACCATGGATGCAGAAGTGCTCAGCAGTGATGTCAGCAAGCTTTCGAAGGGAATTGGAAATATAGGAGAAGTTGTGAGATTAAATGAAGCGGTCTCTGTCGAGGAAAAATGGGGCCCGCATAAATTTTCGGAGTCTATGAACAGCTTCATGAGAAAGGGGGAGGAGGAGATCATTCGGATCCAAGCTCAAGAAAGCGTTGCTCTGTCTTTGGTGAAAGAGATAACGGAATATTTCCATGGGAACTCGGCTAAGGAAGAGGCTCATCCTTTCAGAATCTTTATGGTTGTGAGAGATTTTCTAACGGTTTTGGATCGGGTGTGCAAGGAAGTTGGGTTAATAAACGAACAAACCGTGGTTAGTTCGGCTCATAAATTTCCGATTCCGGTTAACCCAATGCTGCAGCAAGTTTCAGGTGAGAGTTCTTAGTTTAGAAGAAGCTTCTCAAGAATCGACCTGGCAATTTTTTATTTTTTTCTCTAGGAATTAAGTATTTTCGTTTCGACATTTTGTATTTATTATATAGATGAATGTACAAGATTTTGAAAGATAAGTCTCATAGGTGTATACAAGGAAAAATCTTTTGAAGCAATAAGGCTTTAATCCCATGAGATACGATCAAATTACGAAAAAACCCTCTCTTGTTCGAGTGATTACAACAAAAGGTCAAATTAGACATTAATTCATATGTAATGTATAAATGTGTAATAGTGTTGATTTGGTCACATAAAGGTTAAGAAAAAGACTGCAAAGAATCAGCATCCATGCGCTCGATAATTCTGCGTGCTTCCTCCTCCGTAGCTGGAACCACTTTTCTGATCCTATGTCCGTTATTCGATGCCTTTGCTTCTGGTCGAACAGTGAATGTGAAATAAAACCTATTCGACACCTGCAAGACAAATTACGTGCATCACGAATCATACTGGGCAAATTACGGCGAATTACGATTAGTAAACTTTTACATTAAATAGAAAGAAAAGGGAAAAGAAAAGACCGAAGTAGTGAAATTTAAAAAATATTGAGCATACCTCACTGGACCTCATTTCAGGCCTTGTAACATGTGCAACAACTTCTAAATGGATCAAAGGCTGATCCGAAGTCTCGTTTTCTGTATACAGTACACATGATTTGAAACGCAAGAAATCCCCAACATCCACCTACATCACCAGCACAAGAAATTATCTCTATAACGACTAACGAAATTTGGTAGAAACAAAAAATCGGGAATACTACTACACTAATATGAATCCGAAGTGTAACAATGACACAGCAGAGGAAAACGATATTAAGGAAGTAAGCTCTCATGATAAAAAAAATATTGAAACACAAGCAGTCATTTCTGTTCTCGATTTACTAATGGCCTACAATTTGAAGTCCACTTGTTAAAATATGAAATTCGTCAGGGGGGTATACTTACGGGTCTTAGAAAGTCAACATGGTCAACTTCAAGAAACGAAGGCATCATGCCTGCAAAAGCATAAGCAGTCGAAAAGGCTAGCTCAAATGCTCTGTGCATCAGAAACCCTCCAAATATCCGGCCGTGAATATTCCTCTGTTGTGGCTGACAAATCAGCGAGTTCTCAAGACGAGTGTCTCTGAGAAGAATGCTGTCTCTATCCGCCAGTGCAGGCATGTCACAGAAGATCCGTCCCTCAGCCAGCAACACTTGAAATCTATTCATATCTCCATTTTCGATACCCTTTTTATAGTTTGTAATCTTACTTTTTCTCAACGTATTTCTCGCCTCTGCAGCTTCGTAGAGAAACTTTTCTCGTTCCGTTTCGGGACTCAGCCGATTTACAGGAGCAGCTTTGCCGGTCTTGTAGTCACGAGCCACAAAAATGAAGGTGGCAGTTAGAGCAACTGAGTCAGTAACAGCAGCTTCACCTGTCCAATGTGGACGAGAAAAAGCTCCGTTTAGTTCAATGTGTGTATAATGCTATAGCAACTGTAAAATCCCTTACGAAGGTGAAGTGCTGCTGAATTTCAAGAAGTCGGCCTGAAATAAAAAGAATATATTACTACACTAGGCTATACCAGTTGCAGGCTGGGTGATGTCAAGCTGTATTTCAATGGAAGAACGGCCCACCCAAGTAACGGCACCCGATATATGCAGATCAACATCCACACTGATAGGCTTCTTCAGCACCATTCGATCCACCGAAGCAGTAACCAGATACAGCGGCCTAGTCGTACTATCATCGTCCGAGCAATGCTAATTACAAAAACGCCGAAAAAAGAAGGAAAAAAAATCTAATTAGCTCATGAAAACAACAAATAAAAAAGGTTTATAGATACACAATATATGTATGTGATTTTGATAAGAAGAAAAAAATGTTGTACCTTGACTGAAATAGTACCGGCGAGAGCGTCGAGATCTTCGAGCAACTTCCCGATTCTAACCTCGTTCCATGGATCTCTGTACTGCTCCCTGAGTATGTAATCGGTGGAGAAATTGTAGAGAATGGTCATCCTGCTGCCGGAAGGGGTTTTGGTGAGCAATTCGCTCTGCGGCGGCGCGTCGAGTGGGGGATCGAGAAGCCTCTCGAAGATTCTGGACCTTGTTTCCCAAAGGGCGTTCGTCACCGGCGAGTGGTACATTCCCGGCCAGAGACTGAGGGGCTTTCTCGTTGAAGAAGTGGAATCGCTCTTCCTCGGCGAGCCCTCGAATGGTGAAGTGAAGGTGGAGAAGATCGGAATCGGATTGGGGGCGGAGGAATTGGAATCCATTATTGGATTCGAGAACAGAGAAGCAGTAATTTCAGATTGGGGTTTTTTTTTTGCTTGAATTTGGGGAAAGTGGGAACCCAATTTCAGAGGGAAAATTGAGGGGTAGCTGTAAAGTTGGTGGGAAATTTGGCAGATGAATTTATTTATTGGTTGACTTTGCTTTGTTAATTGTTGTCTATAGAATTAGTAAGAGGTTTAAACTACTAATTAAAGAGAATGTCTTGCTCACACACAACATAATCAACTTGACTTGTCTTTTAATTGTTTTGTTACCGATACTAATTCACTCGTGCGATGCATGGAGACAGTTTAAATTACCAATTACTTTCCGGTCGTTTTTTGAACGGAACTGAAATACATATTAAAATCAGATTTTCGATCCAATTTCAATTTTCAAAAGTTTTTTTGAAATTTAATGAAAAGGAAATTTCGAAAGTTACATTTAAATATATATACCGAAACCCGAAAATCCAACAATATTTTTTACTTAAAAAAAATGTTTTATATTATCTGTCAATTTTAAATTCTAATACTTTATTAATTACTTATTTTCAATTATACCCTTATTAACCGGTCGACACTCTCCATACATCAATTAGTAAATAAGAGTATTTCCGTCTAACATTATCTATTTTCCTAATATCACAACACATTTGTTGAGATTCTTAAGACTTGTGCATATATGAAAAATGACATCTATTTAGAAACAAATGGAATGATTAATATTATAGATGACAAAAATAGAAATTTCGAATTCCACCTATTCAAATTCAATTTTAAAACAAAAATTTCCTTCCAATTTTCAAAAGTTCAATTCCGATTTTTCCAACTTTTTGGAACAAAATTAGAATTAATTTTTAACTTTAAAGTGGCAAAAAAAAAAAAAAAAACACCCTGATTTTCATCAAGAAAATCAAACAAACACAACAATAAAGCCAAGCAACACACTTGATCACTTACAAAACATGAATAAACAGGATCCAAGTAGCTTGTGTGTGCATTAACCACAGGCCCTATTACATAAAAAAACGAAAATCGATTCAAACAAAAACAAAAGTTGTTACATCGCCACAAACAACATATAATAATATACACAAACACGGTTTTGAAAAAAAAAAAACATTCTACTCACCGGTATACGAATACATATACGTATAAGTATTCTCAGCAAAGATCTCCCTACGCACGATCTCTCGCAACAATAAGCTCCACATGGTCCGCACGATTACTCCCTTCATCCGAAAGAACCAACAAATCGTCCTCGGTCGTAAAATCATACCTTTGCCCAATAGCTCTCAAAAGCTGATAAACCTCAAACATAGTCGGCCTCTCCTTATGAGCGGGCCCCACACAATTACATGCAACTTTAAGAAACTGAAAAACTTCCCCATCGTACCCTTTCCCCACCAAGAACTCATCAATAGCATCGTGCAGCTTAGATTCCGCGGTAAGCTGCGTTACCCACTCCACTAGATTCCCTTTAAAACTTTCCGGTGCTTTCTTGACAAAAGTCGGTTTTGCCCCCGTCACTAATTCCAAAAGCACCACCCCAAAACTATACACATCGCCCTTTGGAGTTGCCACCAAAGTTCTAGCATACTCCGGAGCAACGTAACCGTAGTCGCCGAACTCTCCGTTCACGAAAGTGCTCAAATGAGTGTCGACCGGATTCATGAGCCTCGCGAGGCCGAAATCGGAAATCTTGGGCTCGAAATCGGAATCCAATAGAATGCATTTCGAGCTCACGTTTCGGTGGATGATTCTTGGATTGCAGCTGTGGTGGAGCCATGCGAACCCTTTTGCTGATTTAATTCCGATTTTGAGCCTTAGTGGCCAATCCATGATTTTGTCGCCCTCGTTGAGACTGTGTAGTTTGTCGTATAGGGTTCCGTTTGGCATGAGCTTGTAGACCAAGAATCGTTCTTTCTTGGCCACGCAGAAACCTAGGAGTGGGACTAGGTTGCGGTGTTTTACTTTTCCCAACGTGGACATTTCGGAAGTGAATTCTTTCTCCGAGTGTTGAGTGTCTTGTAATCTCTTCACCATGAGCGAGGTTCCGTCTTCGAGTAGTGCCTTGTACGTTGTCCCGGTTCTTCCCGTACCGATTATGTTCTCTTTGCTGAAGTCGTTTGTGGCTTTCATTAGATCGTTCAGGCTCATTTTTGAAACCGTACTCTCGAACATCGAAAGCTGCAGAGGGGTAATTTGGTCATTTTCAAACACGAAAAATTCTTTGAGCACGTAAAAATGGGATACAAGGAGGGTTGAAGAAACTACTCTCCCCCCCCCCCCCCCTTCATTTTTAAGTGTCACTTTACAGCCGTATAACTTTTTTTCCTGTATTAAGTGTCGTTTTAAAAACTCCCGAAAAGATGACAACTATTTCAAAGTTAGCTTTAAATATTCCGAAAAAAAACAAAAACATTCCGACAGTAATTAAGTACCTTAATCCGTTTAGTACCCTTGATAATCCTTGCCCATTTATTGCCAAGAGGATCTTCTTCCCTCTTTCTCCTCGAGACCTTATGCAGAAAGAAGTACATACCGATACCAACTCCCAAAGCTGCAAAAGTCAACCCACCCACAGCCGCTCCAACAATCGCCGCAGTATGCGTTTTCTTTGGGGGCCCGATACAAGGCGGCAAAGGCTTAGCACAAAGCCCAATGTTATTCGCATAGTTCTCCACCGGCACACTAGCGTTTATAAACTGAGGAACCGGTCCACTCAACCGATTATTCGTCACGGAGAAAGTCTTTATCCGATTAAGCAGGCCGATCTGAGGTGGGATTTGACCGGTCAACTGATTATTATCGAGCCTCAGGATATTCAAGAACGAGCAATTCGCAAGATCCACTGGAATCTCTCCGGATAACTCGTTTGACGAGAGATCGAGGCTTGTGACAAAGGGGAGCAATTTTGAGATGTTAGTTGGAATTGTTCCGTTTATATTATTGCTCGAGAGATCTAAGCCTGTCATCGAAGAACAACCGGAAATAGCTTGAGGGAATTCGCCTTTGAGGCCGATGTCCGGTAGTCGGATATTTAGGACCTTGTTTTCATTCTCGTGCCAGCATTCGACTCCGGTGAATTTACATATATAACCTTCCGTGCTGTTGTTGAAATTCCATAGGGATGCTAGTTTGTTTAAGGGGTCGAGAGTGTCTTTTATCGCTCTGAGGCAATCGACATCACTTTGAGCGGCTTGGCTCAACGGTTCGGTTAATAGGAACAAGATAAGGGCAGTAACTAGAAAAGAGGGCGCTTTGGAATTCGATACTATTCTTGGTAATAGAACAGCCATAACTTGAACAAGAACCGAGAATGCGAATCAACTCAATGATGGTGTTTGGTGCATGACGAGGCTCGCGTTTTTTTATGGGTTCCCTGAAAGAAAAGAAAACCAAACACAATCAAAACAAGAAACCCCAAACTATAGATGTAATAAGTTAAGAGGATAAACCGAAAAAAGGTACAAACAAGCGAAAACCAGAACCTAGGATGCAATGCGAACTACGTGAAGACGGTATAAAGATTTTACAAGAGGACTAACTGACAGTAGGAATAAACTTGATCAATTACTTATAGGTATGTATATACACATAGATATCAACTCAGTAATTGCTTCGATTCGAGATTATGAATGCGAAAAACGACAGGAAAACATAACCTAATTATGTAAGAAGGGAAAAAAGGTAATTAATTGAGCAGCCCCAAACAGAAAGAAACTTCAAAAATTCTTCCTTACACAACATAATTGAAAATTCACACAAAGAAACAAACACAAACCCACTCAAAAATCAACTCAAAACTACAAAACCCCATAAAAATTACAAGAAACCCACAAAATTATATCAATCAAGAAACCCAATAAACTTCAAACCAACTCCAACAGCTCTAGAAAGTGAATGGAAAATTGAAAAATAAAGAATAAAAATCAAGTCTTTCTTGAAAAAAAAAGCATTATTTTTTCAATTAGAAATTAAATCAATCTGCTAACAGATATAAATAATAACAAATGAAATCATAGAAATAAGTACATGAAAGAAGGAGGATTGAGAGAAGTAAGAAGTATTACCAGAGATCTTTGAGAAAAAAAAATTGGGTATTATGAATATTTTGAGGGAAGAATGAAAAATGGATGCTAAGATAAATTGGTAACGGGTGTCACTGTTGAGGAGTTTCGGGTCAAAGAAGGGAGGGCAAAGACTTTGAATTCTTTCATCTTTGGTCTTTTTGTTGCTGTCGAGTTTTCCCACTCGCCTGCAAATTTCACTACTTTTTTTTTTTTTTCTTCGGATATTATTATAAGAGAAATATATTTTAAAAATTAAATGTTTTTTTTATATGTATGTTTCAAGAATGTTTTTCTTATTCATCTTTTGGGAATTATTTGTTATATTTAGTGGAAGACATTTTAAGTTTTTATTTCATGTTTGTTGGGTTATATCTAGGGGTGTAAATCGGACGGATCGAATCGGAATACGTAAGCTCTTTTGGGGGGAAAAAAAATTCGGAAGGAAAAAAACTAGTTCCAATTTTGTTCCAAAAAAATTGGAATCGGAATTTCAGAAATTGAAATGAAAAAAGTTATTTCAAAATCGGAAAATTTTGGATCGAAATCAGCGGAATTCGAAAATTCTTAATTTTTGGTCACCTAAAATATAAAATACAAAAAATAGATAGATTTGATTTATTTTTTTTACACTTTATGGAATGTAATATCGATTTGAAAATATTTTAATAATATTTCGTTCATATTTGTGATTTTTAATCAAAAAATGATAAATAGTAGAGGTGTGTAAGGCTGCGTTTGACAGAATTAAGCGCTGAACACTGAATACTGAATACACGACTGAATGGTTAAGATCAGTATCTGAATACTGAATACAAAATAATTAAGTTTGTTTGATAACTTAAAATTTATTGTATCTGAATAATGTAATTTTACTATGTTATCCTTCAAAGTATTGAACATATATTTATTCACTAATAGAATCATCAATAAGATCTAAATAGAAAAATATAATTATGACGATTGTAATATTATATTATATTTATGGCAACTTACGACCACTCCTGAGTTAATGTCAAATTTCATACCGTTTAGCGTTTGGTTCAATAAATAACTAAATTACCAAATATATATATATATATATATATATATATATATATATATATATATATATATATATATATATATATATATATATTAAATATATATGTATTCAATTCGATTCGATCGGTTTACCGACCAAATGAATACCCCTAGGTAAATTTGGCATCGTAAGGGTGGACATGTAAGACGATACATAGTTGAGAGGGGTGGTTGTAATTATGCAAACAAATGGATTTTTTTCGTATTTATACCTTACCTTAGGGAGTGGGCCGTAATTTGCCCATTATATTATTTGGAAAAGGAAAAAAAAAACTGTAAACTAAATTCTATAATTCTGAAAATAAATTTGTAAAATTTAAACATAAATTTGGTGGAGATTTATTGGATGAAGGTGATGGTAGTGGTAAATAGATAAATTGATTATTTGGTTAAGAACATGACGACCAACAAAGAATTTAATGGGGATACTTTTGTCTAATTTTTATTCAGTCCATCACTGAATCATTAAGTCCCAATTATTTTACTGAATCGATAAGCAGTAGATGGTTCCGGTCAGAGTTGCATAACAAACACTCTTAATTAGTCCGTCTCTTACCGAATCAGAAGCTAAGTGCATTCAGAGCTCATTAAGAGCCAATCAAACAGAGCCTAAATATTGTGTAATTGTGTTTGATATATTGATTAGTTTGAGGGAATAAAAATATTATTTTCATAAAATAAAGTGAAATTTGATTTTGGAAAAATTGACACCAAACAAGCCCTTCCTGAGTTGTGACCCGAAGAGCTTGACTTTTACTTATTTTCATTTTGGGTTTAATGGTGGAGAAAAAATCCTTGTACAACCAATGATCAATCTCCACGTGTTAATTTATTGAAACCTTTTCCACAATGTAATTTCACCTATTTTTTCATGCCTTTTATTGTCCTTATTATTTATTTGTTTAAAAAAAATGGATGTTGATGGTATTTTTTATTTGAAAAATAATTGTGCTGCGGTCAATAATAAATTAACTCGAATCACCTCAAGATAATTCTCGAATCTGCAATAAATATTCGAGAATTAAAACAATTCTTCAATTGCGAAATATAACACGTTAGGGGCGCCGGAATTTAGTTCCTGCGAAAACGCTCTGATGCTTAAATCAGTCCAATCCCAAGAGAATATAAGAAAAATATTATGCAATAAAATGACAATAATATTGAACTATTTATATACCAAATCAATTAATCATGGACCCCGAAATATTAATTTTGGGCTTCGATTTATCGTTGGGCCCTATTAATATAGTTATAAGTTTTGGGCTTATTATAGGCTAACTAAGCCCATGCACATCAAACTGCACAAAAAAAAATAAAAAATAGTGAAATGCTTTTTACGGTTTGAAAATTGTTATTTACGGTTCATAACAAAAAATATTTTATCTCTCTAAAACCCTAAAACCTTCTAAAAAAATCCAAAACCCCCCAAACTGCAAATAGCAAAAAAAAAAAAAATCGAAAATTCGAAATCAAGCTTGAAGAAGGCTTGGGTTTCGATTTTTTGACGTAATTTCGACTCCTTTATGTATAGTATGCATTGGGTAGATCGACTACAGAACCAATTTCATGTTAAAAAGCCCTACAAATCGATTTGTAGGGCTTTTTTTTTTTCGCACATACATGGTAGAACGCCCTGGACGTTCAATTTAGTGTTTTGAACTGTAAATAGCAATTTTCAAACCGTAAAAAACAAATCTCAACAAATAAGACGGGGGTGTGGCAATAGCAATTTGGGGAGGGGTATCGACAAAAAAAGCAAAGGTCACAAGGAGGGATGTGTGCATGTGATGTCAGCGTGCGTGCTTTTGTTCGTGTAGCTGTCGGAAGAGTCAGTGAGTTGTCATAAATACAGCCTCTCATTCTCTCTCCTCAACTTTCCTCTTTCCAAAAACATTCTCTCTCTCTCTCTCTCTAGGGATTCGCTCTCTATCTACACAAACCCTCGCTCCCAGCCAAAAAAAAAAAAAACATGACCTGAATTTCCTGCTTCCAACCGCCGTAATTCGCCGCACTCTGTCGTCTTTCGCCGCCAACGATCCGTGAGTTTCACCTCTTATCTCTTTTGTTTACTTTCTCTCACTGCACTTCCAGATCAACTCTATTGCTATTTTGTATTTACTTTTATTTTTTCGTTTGTTCAGCTGAGTTTCCTTGTGTGCTTTCCGAAATTGAGTTATTTTTTATGCTAATTGCAGCTGCATTTATCAATTCCAGTTGCAGCTGTGTCTTTTTTCTTTCATGATTGTCGTCAATTTTTTTCTTTCTATTATCATTATTTTCCTGATCTGAGTATCGATTAGTGGCTAGGGTTTGACATGTAGTTTGGTACGGTCTCGTTTCTAATTTTTGCTTCTTATGTAAAGGGTAATTTTGGTCTTTTATGTTAAAATTAATGCTATTTATTAGGACTCCTAATTTGTGTGCATGTTTAAAGAGAAACAGAGGGAGTACTCGATCGAAGAATTCATGTAAATCGGAACTGCAGCCATTGAAATGGCTGTCTTGTTGTTCGACAGTTCCTTCTTAGGATAAGCAGTTTTTCGCTCGCAGTGTATATATTAAGAGTCGTCAATCATGCCAGCATTGTAATGAAGCAAATTCAGCAGCTAAAACGCCACGATTAAGCTCGAGATACCTTGACTAATTGACTCACAAACTCTAAAAAATTTACATGTCGATGCATATTGCTGTATTTGTTTGTATCTCATCTGTGTTAATGAGTTGTAGTTCCTGCTGAATTGTTTATTTCTTTAGAGGGTTTGTTTTTGCTTTGTATTTACCTGTCGAAGTATCTTGCATACGTGTGTGAAATCTCAGCCTGCTTTCCTTGATACACGCACTCCTTAATTTTTCCAGATCTTATACATTCCTCTCTACCTCGAGATTGTAATAAATAACCGTTCATATTTAGTTAGATTTTAGTTTTCATATGATTGCCTGTGTCAAATCCAGCTGCCCTTGTTTTTGCACTAGAGCTGATAATATGCTCGTATTTTGTCCAGGATATCTATGTCATGGAAGACAACTTATCCTCCACCACTCTGATGGACTCCACAGCCTCTAAGATACAACAACTCCAGAAAGCATTTGCAGAACTCGAAAGCCACAGGTCCGTCACTCTCAATTTGAAATGGCAGCAGCTCGAGGAGCATTTCCACGGCCTTCAAAAGTCTCTGAAACGGCGTTTCACCGAGCTAGAAGAGCAAGAAAAGGAATTCGAACACAAAATATCTGAATCCAAAGATGCATTGGACAAGCGCAAAGCTGCTGTTATTGCCAGTGAGCAAGTATCGCTCGAGAGGCTCCAAGACAAGCGAGATGCTGCTGTCTCTGCTATTCTATCCGCTATGCAGAATCCACTTGCTGAAGATTCACCCATCACTAAAACTGAGGAAAAGATAACCGGGGCCATGGTTTCCGACAGTAACGCTGAAATCACGAAAAAGCCTCTCGTGAATATGAACGTGCAGGTCAAGTCATATCCAGATTTAGTAATACTGTGCCGAGAGATGAACTCGGAAGGTCTGCACAAATTCATATCGGACAATCGCAAGAATCTTGCCATTCTAAGGGAGGAAATTCCGACTGCACTTGAGGCTGCTGCGGACCCCGCCTCTCTGGTTCTGGACTCTCTGAAGGGATTCTATAACATCGACATGCAGAATTTGGATGCTAGAAAAGATTCGAATCTGTTGGGCCTTCGTCGTACCTGTATCATGCTCATGGAGTGCCTTTGCAGTTTGTCTGTGAGTCTTGATGGGAATGCTAAGGAGAGAGCAAAAGCTATTGCTGAGGATTGGAAGCCGAAGCTGGATTATCTCGATGCTGATGCGAGCAACGGGAATTCTTTGGAAGCGCATGCGTTCCTACAACTTCTGGCTACTTTTGGCATCAATTCGGATTTCGATCAGGAGAGCTTGTCCAAGTTAATACCTATGGTTTCTCGCCGTCGTCAAACGGCTGAGTTGTGCCGTTTCCTTGGGTTGTCGGACAAAATGCCAGGTTGGTTTATTTGGAATATGTTATGTTAATCCAATGTGTAAGTACGTTCTTTTTTATATCTATATGACTCCTTACTCTCTCTTTTAATTCATATCGAGTGTCACTCTTACTTTGTGGTAATCTCTCTCTAACTCTCTGAATAATGCTTTACTAATTCCAGTTTCCAGATTATGAAGATTTATGTGTCCACTTTTTATTACTTGTCTTGCCAGGTGTGATTGATGTACTAATAAAGAACGGAAGACACATCGACGCCGTCAATTTGGCTTTTGCATTCGAGCTCACTGATCAGTTTTCACCCATTTCTCTACTCAAATCTTACTTATCCGAGGCCAGAAAAGTGCAATCGTCTGCCAAACCTGGGAACGCATCGCCCACTTCTTCTACACAGGTTCATTCCTTTGCTGAATCTGACTTTTACTTCTCAATAGTTCTCTCTGCTTATCTATCTCTACAACATCGTTAACATTATTATTACAGTTTGCCAAAAACCTCAAAGTCAACCGAATAGAGCTGTATGAGAAGTCTTCACTATTCACTTATCTGCACTGTGCAATATCTGAAAAACCAAAAGATATCGCAACCCAATATACCGATTTGTGCTGAGAGCATGTTCTTCTATTAGGGTTCTGCACCATAATTGAGGTTCTTAGATAACTTCTAGGAGCTGCTAACAGCTATACTTAGTTGTTCATCCACTTGGCCCTCGTTTGGTTGGTAATATAAGCCATGATTAATTAAATAAACCAGGTCTTATTTGATGTTTGGTTAGTGCAATTATGAAAAATGAGCTATTATCTTTGTTTATTGAGGGATATGTATTGAATCTCCCCTCGTCCGATTATAAAATGGGTTCTCAGAGGATTGCATAATTTTATTTTATCGAAACTTATCCAAACAAGTACTTGGAGGGTTTCTATTCATTTAAGGTTGTAATGATTCTTTGATTGCAGAGCGATGTGAACGAGAAAGAGCTGACATCGCTAAAAGCTGTAATAAAGTGCATCGAAGACCACAAACTCGAGCACCAATTCCCAACAGACCCACTCCAGAAACAACTCATCGAAATCGAGAAAGCCAAAGCCGATAAAAAAAGAGCAACGGAAGTTGGAAAGCCTCAGTCCAAACGACCCCGTGCAAGTGGTGTACACGCACCACCACCACCACCTCGAGTGGCTGCTGCTAATGTCGCTGTCACCCACACCGCTAGAACGACCGATAGGTACCCGCAGTACATCTACGAGAGGCCCACTTACGCTGCCTACGCGGGGCCCACCGACCACCACCATCTTCACCACCATCACCATCAAGTTCCTTCGTTTTTCGGCGGTGGTGCTTATAACTTTTCGCCTAATCATGGAAGCTTCTTTGGAAATGGCTACCACCAGTACCAGACTACTACCTACCTGCACTGATGATGATGACGATGATGATTTGATCCGTTGACTGTTAGTGTTGACCCTGTTATTTTCCGATTTGTTTTTTTAATTGTGTAATATGTTCGACCTCCTGGGAGAAATTTAATATTTGTTAATTTTCTAGTCTGTTGTTGTAAAAGCTAATATTACCATGCTTTTAACAGATGCAACTGTTTCTAATGTTGTGTTTATAATGTTGTATTATTAATCTTTATGTTTCTCGAATCTGCATTATTTATTTATTTTTTCATGCTGTGTTCTTTTAGCACCTTCATTCTAGCTAAAATTTTACAATTCAAAGATATTGGTATGTTTCAAAAAATAAATAGCTAACGTAATTATCAAATAATAACTAAATTAGTTTTTTTTTCTTTTTTTTCTAGTCCTTGCAAATATTGCAAATTTGAAAGTGCCCTTTGAAAAGTAATCGTTGAAAATGCGATAATCCAAAAATTACGGTGATTTCTTATTGTGTTTTACTAGTTTTCAAACATCATTTTCCCCAATCGAAAATTCGCGCCAATAATTTCAAAAAACCAAGGGAACAAAAAAAAAGGGGGAAAAATGAGAATCGCTGAGATTTCCTCCACGCCGGAGCACCGCAGAGCCAGCGCCGCCGCCGAGTCTGACCATTCGACGGCGCTCTCGCAAATCGAGTCCACGATTAAATCGCTTGAGCGTCACTCGCCCGCGCATCCATTGCCTGACACATTCTCCTCCGAGCTTCGACAAGCCCTTGCTCAGCTGAGTCAACTCGCTCCTTTCCCCAATTCCACGAAACTTCTTGTCTGGAAACTCAGCTACCGCCTCTGGAACACGTGCGTCGACCTCGCCAATGCGTCTGCCGCGAAGATCGACGAGGAGCATGCCAAGCTCCGGCAAGTGGCCGCCCAGATGCTATTTCTCACCGCCGATGTGGTGGGAATTCCTTCTCCGGCGTTCAAGTCGGCTCTCTTCTTCTACAAAACCGGATTAATCTGGTACGACCTAAAAACATTCGATTCAGCAAACAATTGCTTCGAAAAAGCCACCGATCTAGTGTCGGATATTGAAATTAACTCAGTCTCCGATGACGACGAACGAAAATTGCTCTTAGATCTCAATATTTCCCGATCCAAAGCTGCTTGGGAAGTTTCCGACCGGAATTTAGCCATCAATTTGTTAAACAGGTCAAAAAATGTTCTGTTCGGAGTTTCTAGAAACTACAATGCCCTAGCTACTCAGTATCTAACCTTTGGAAAGACTATGCTATCAGCAAGTGAGTCTTCTGCAGTGAACGAGGCACTGAAGTTGATGAACGAGGCTTTGGAACTCTGCGAAAAGGGGTTGAGAGTGGTGAAAAGGACTGAGGAGACTCTGAATTTGAAGGAGTTGAGGTTGAAGACTCTGAGATTCATAGCGGCCGCACATTTGCAGAGCGACGAGTTTGAGAGCGTGTTGAAGTGCGTGAAAGTTTTGAGGGATGTCGGGATTGGTGGGGACCACCACCCCAGTTTGAGTGTCTTGGCAATGAAAGCATGGCTAGGGTTAGGAAGGTATGGGGAGGCGGAGAAGGAGTTGAGAGGAATGGTGATGAATAAAGGGATACCGGAGGGTGTTTGGGTGTCGGCGGTGGAATCTTACTTTGTGGCGGCAGGTGCAGCTGGTGCTGAGACGGTTAAAGGGGTGTTTTTGGGGCTGTTGGAGCGTTGCCATGTTAGTGCTGGTGCTGCGATTAGGGTGGTCAATAGGTTGGTTGGGAGTGGGTTGAGCAACGGTGAAGGAATGAAGGTGAGAGCCAGTGTTGTTACGGAGCTGGTTTCAGATGAGAGGGTGGTGATGCTTTTCGATGGAGAAGGTGCTGCAAAGGAGAGAACGACCATGCATGCTCTTCTGTGGAACTGGTAAACTTCAGACAACCTTTTTCTTTTTTCCAAGAAATATATGGGTGGATGTTGCTTTGATTTGTGTTTGTCAAAAAATCGAAAGTAATATTATATTCATACAAGGGATAAAAGGCCAAGAAACCACATAAGTACCTTACTTCAAAAAGATTTATTTTAGTTGCATTTGTACTATTATTGTGGTTGTACAGAATAGAAGTAGTGGTAACTGTATGAATATCCTTTGTGTTGCGATTTCGACATTTGCTGAAAATCAGCTGCAAAATTTTGAATAGCTTTTTCTTTATGCTTTTTTCTAGTTTTTGAATGGCAAAACATATTGTTTTAGGGAGGTTGTTTCCCACAAGTGGTTCAGTAACTGTTAAAATAAAATTTCCGCTTTCTAAATCTGTCTTTGCAGTGCAACAGAGTATTTTCGATCAAAAGATTATCCGCTAAGTGCCGACATGTTCGAAAAATCTATGCTATATGTCCCCCATGGAATAGAGAACAGAATTCTCAGAGCTAAGGGATATCGAGTTCTGTGCCTCTGCTACCTAGGCCTGTTGCAGCTAGATAGAGCTGAAGAATATATCAATGAGGCTGAAAAGGTCAGCATTAAATAAGCCTAATTTCTTCCTCAAATCAATTTCCAAAGTTTATATCTCAACATCATCCTGTTGCCTTTGTGTTTCTGCAGTTGGAACCCAACATAGCTAGCTCCTTCCTGAAGGTATTTAATTCGTCTGTGTCATTGGCCAAATAATTCCTGTCGTTACGAGGACAGCAAAGTTAATTGTTCTCTTTTGTCTTAATGACCTGCAATGGTGCTTTGCAGTTCAAGATTTTCTTGCAAAAGAACGACCACAGCAGCGCTATCTCTCAGATGCAAGCAATGCCTAGCTGCCTCGACTTCACCACCGATTTCATCTCCCTCGCCGCCCACGAAGCAGTTGCCTGCCGCTCACTTCTTGTTGCCACCGCCTCTCTCTCCCAACTCCTGAACTTTTATTCCTCGGGAAAATCAATGCCAACTAACGAGGTTGTAGTGTTTCGAACCTTGGTTACGATCCTAAGTCAAGACTCAGCTAATGACGACGATGTCCTCAAGAACATGAAAAAAGCTCATCACCGCCAGTCCGAGATTGGAGCCGACCTATTTTTCGGTAAATCCGAGGTTGGCAGACGAGAAAAGAATTGGTTTGCAGGGAACGCTTGGAATTTTGGAGTAAGAACAGGGCAGGAGAAAAAGTACGACTTATCTGCAGAGTTCTTCAAATTGGCATCAGAGTTTTACGGAGTTGTAAGTGAAGGGGAAATCGAGGTAGATAACGATGTCATGGTTTGTAAATCGATAATACTTTCTGTTTCCGCCATTATTGCTGACGAGAAGCAGGGGAAGAGCACAATGCTTGAAACTGAAGTCAGACAAGCCATCGAACTTTTAAGCAGGGCAGGAAAGGTGAACGAACCAATTAAACTACATTGCTTGTTTTTTTAGTGCTATTCTTTTTCTTTGAGATGATTATGCTTAACCATTGATGAATAATTTCCTGCATACAGATACTAACAACAAGCTCAGCCAACATCAGAAAAAACGACGATCAAGTTACAACTATCGAGCCCAATTTCTTCTTCATATACACTTGGACAGCCTATGACCTATACTCCAGGTTGAGTGATACTGATGCCCAACAGCTCCTATTGGTCAAAAATTTTGCGGGTTCAAAATCGTGCAACCCGAATTATTTGCTTCAAATCGGATTAGATGCCTCACAAGGACCACGGTCAAACCCAGAAGTAGCCACCTTTGCGTTGAACGCCTCTCTCACTGCACTCCTCTCTTCACCTTCTCCAGATTACCAATCTGTGGCACTGATTTTGAGGAAGCTAATTTCTATCGGCACTTTATACAAGGGAGACAAAGATGAAGACTCGATAATCGAAATGTACAAGCAAGCGTATCGGATCATGGTTGGGTTGAAGGAAGGGGATTATCCGATCGAAGAAGCTAAATGGCTTGCTACAACAGCGTGGAATCGAGCGGCACTTCCTGTGAAGATGGGGCGGTTTGAGTCGGCGAAGAAGTGGATGGATATCGGTTTGGAACTGGCGGTGAAGGTGCCCGGTATGCATACGTATAGATCGTGTATGGAGGAATATGTTGCAGGCTTTGAGAAGAAACTCATTGGGAAAGAAAATGAAAGCAGGACAAGAGGAATGTTATAATTTTCGAATTTGCTTTGTTCAAATCTGTGGAGATAGTTATCAAAACCTTCCATTATCAGTTCTGATGGATATAACATCCAATATATAGAGTTCAATTATATCAATGTTCTGTATCAAGGGTTGAAGGATTATTTTTTTTTTCTTTTTTTTTTTCAAATTACGGCAACCCCTAGAAGTAATGTCAAATTACAAAAAAATCCTCATGTTTGGATAATTACAGTCAATTTATACAAAAAAAAAAAGGAAAAAGTTGCAAGAAATTAAAAAAAAAGAAAAAAGAAAAAAAAGGAAGGGTATATTACACCTACACCCCTGATGTATGCTAAAATAACATTAAGGTCCTTATGGTACTGGTAATTGCAGTCACCCTTGAAATATTGTTAGAAACCCTAACAAAATAATGCATTGAATAATACAGTGGTGGAGGCAACATAGGGGGTGACATGGATCCCCTAATATTTTCTTAAATATTTATTATTTTATATAACATTTATTTTCTTCTAGGTAGCATTAATGACCCCTTAAAAGACAAATATATTGCATATCGGTCCCCAGAACATGAAATTTTGGCTCTGATTTTAGGTATATGTCCGTAATTATCAAAACTAGAAGAACTTTAAAGTTATTTTAGCATACATTACGAGTGGAGGTGCAATTTACCCAAAAATGTATAGATGATCAATTACGGGCCGTTGAATATGGCGCCATCTTATCATCTTTATTTCTGATATCTCAATCTGTATGTATATCCACTCTTTTCCTCTTTTTTATTATCAATGGAGTCTCTCTCCAGATTCCTCTCCGCCTCCCCGCCATTACTAAACCCTTCCAAAACCCCCAAATCAGCCTCCAGATCACACATTTTCCTCGCGAATTGCTTACCCATCTCCAATTCCAAACTTATTCCCCTCAATTCTCTTCAAACCACCGAAACCCTAACCCCAAATCACCATTCCAAAACCACTTCAATTTCGTCCGATGGTTTCCGAAAAAATCTCTCCTTTCTCATCAAACCCAACTTCTCTCTCCTCCTCCTTGGATTCTCTGCCCCACTCTCTTGCTTCGCCTCCGAGACCGCCGCCGCTGGAGAAGTGTCCAACAGAATTAATTTGGAATCCATTTTGGTCTCCATTGATGAGTTCTTCACCCGGTACCCTTTTTTTGTTGCGACGGTCACCTTCGTTTGGCTGGTTGCGATCCCTTTGACGGAGGAGTATTTGCAGAAGTACAAAGTCATCTCCGCCATTAATGCATTCAACAAGCTAAGGGATGACCCAACTTCTCAGTTGTTGGATATAAGGGACAGTAAAATCTTAGCTTCTTTAGGTTCGCCCAATTTGAAATTCTTGAATAAGAAAACGGTGCAGGTCGAATTTCGAGAAGGAGACGAAGAGGGTTTTGTGAAGAGGGTTTTGCAGAATTTTCGGGAGCCAGCTAATACTTCTGTTTGTATTATAGACAAGTAAGGTTTGGATCTTTGTTTTTATTTTTTTCATCTTCAAGTTATAATTGTCGTTTCGTTTTTGGCATTTTCGAGCACTGGCCTCTACGTATTATCCAAACGGCAATGTATATAATGTTTTTAGGAATGAAATGATTTACTTGTTAACAACGTAAAAAAAAACATAGTCCGGTGAACTCTTTTGTTGTGTCGATGATTGATAAGATTGTAGGGTGTATAGAGTTTATGGTGTTTTTCTCGAGTGATTGCAAGATTTTATAGACTTTAAACTAACTTTTCCGATCGACTCCTTTGACGTGTAAGGTAGTTTTGATGGTAACTCTTTCAAGGTGGCCGAGCTATTGGTGAAAAATGGTTTTAAAGAGGCCTACGCTATTCGCGGAGGGGTCAGGGGCAAAAAAGGATGGCAGGTATGCTAAAACTACTACTGCTCTTTTTCCTTGCGTATTCTCTGTTTGTTGGTTTCGTATTATGTGTTGAAATGGAATTTTTCGATTGATGGCTTTGTGCATTGGCCAAGTTTGTTGTTAATCAATTTGTTTCAATGGCTATTCTTTGTTAGCAAGTGAGTATCTCCTTGTGAATTTGATGGGAGTAAGTAATTTACGAGAAATATCAATTTGCACTTTGCGATTAGTGTTTGTGAATACTGGTTTGCTACTTTGGTGAGAAGAACTCGAACTTCTTCATGAACCTCGTAAATTAGATGCCAACTCATTTTTTGGCCGATTGCAGGAGATACAAGAGACACTCCTACCTCCATCTGTGCATATCTATCCAAAGGAGAAGGCCAACAAGCCGAAACAACTTGATTCAAATGGAGGAATTACGCCAAAAGTCGCGGGTAATGATGACTTGCCTTTGTATACGGACCGTCTCACTACTAATAACACCACTCAAGAAATCATCAAGAATGAAGATATTAGTTCCGTTAGTCCCACTATCCAATCAAAAGGTGGTCAAAGGCCCCAGTCTCCTTACCCCAATGTATGAAATCTCTCTCTCTCTCTCTCTCTAGAATCTTGTGGAAGGGTTACTAATTGAAGCTCGTTGTTTACGCAGTACCCGAATTTGAAACCTCCATCTTCCCCAACTCCATCAAAGCCGAATTGATGTGAACTTGGTTGCTCTATAGCATCTTGTTGTCCAGGAGGAAAAGAAAGAAAGAGTACAAATTAGAGTCCTGATTTTTGGTTTGTTCCTAACGAGTAATTATTTTTTTGTTGAGGCAATAATAATTATTAAAGGTTTCTTGTAATTTTTTTAACCAGTGTATTTATTCTTTGGTGCTTCCACTATTTCAACTTTAATAATTGTTCTCAGTTTCTTGATTAATTCTCTTTAAGATTGATTCTGCCGGTTTTAAAATTCTCTTGAAAAGACAAAAAAACCCTTATATTAGATCTTATATATAAAACAAAGATATTTTGAGCTATAACCCTAAACCTAAATTTAAGGACACTAGTCAATTTCTATTTTGTTGGTTTTTTTTCCTCCCTTAATTATAATTTTGAAGGGATTTATTATCATCATTTGAAAAACCGCACGCCACACAAAAAACTGTAAAAACCCTTTCTACATCCCACGTTATATATTGGCGGTTTTTTTTCATTTCCCATATCTCTTCCTTCTTCCAAGATTTTCTCGACATTTTTTTGTTCACATCTTTTTTACACTTGACAGTATATCAAAACGTGTAGAAAACGGTTTCCACATCCCACATTATTTTTGCCACTGTCGATTTCACATAAAAGTTATGAATGCTGCCATCGCGATTCCATTGATTCTCATGATTATACTCTTCTAATCTTATATTTCCGAAATTGTAAGGAAGAAGAAGATGCTCTACTTATGTTTCAAAGCTGCCACAATAATTGTTGTCAATAACTAAGGAAACTGCGGCAAGTATTTTACTTTACTTTTTCCCTGGGGCTTATCAGATCGTATAAAATGGCAGTTTTTTTTCTTCTCCGTTGATAAAATCACCACACCTAAACGAATCATTTAAGCGGTAAAAAACTCCCCAACGAAGGAGAAGCCATGCCTCTGAGAAGTCTCTGCGTAATCGAGTGCGTGCTTGATTGAGAGGGAACTGAGGATCTCTTCTTTTCAAGGTGCGTTTCGGCCTCCTTAATTATATGGAAGAATCTACATATTATCCAATTTAAACAATTGCAAACTAAATCCATTGATTTAAGCCCAAATTTTAGTTGGTTTTCTCTCTTTATCGTTCTCTTTAATCAACCTATTTGTTTCATGAAAATTTTAACAGTTGTTCATTTATGCCAAAATCTCTGCATATTATTAAGCTATTCGGTGTTCAATTCCATGTTGAGTATCAAGGTCCACAATTTCAGTGAAGCAGTTTGACAAATTTTCTAAGAATTTGTATTCATTTTTTTTAAATTAGCATATGGAAGCTTTTTGCAAAATAAATGTATTCAAATTTATTCTTCTTAATTTTAGTCCGACAAAACCTTTTTCCAAAATAACTGTATTTGGTTTTTGAATGAATTTGATTGCCTATTTACACTGTTTGTTTTCCTCGACAAAAATACCTATTTTTAACTTGCATTTATTTAAGAGTGTCAAACATATCAGAACACGAAAAGGGATATGCAGAAGTTTTCAAGGAAAGATAAAGAATTGAGCGGCAAGCATTCAGGCTTTGAGCTATTAGTTGATACTAGTATCTGTGTGAATACCTCATATATTTATCCTTAGAACTCGACGTCTAATAGAATAATTTCTTTCAAAATGGTAGATAGAAATGTCAAGTTGTGTGGCTGTCTTATTTTATTTTATGATAATAAAAATATGATGTGCCAATTAATTGTCTTATTTCCATACGATAATAAAACTATGATGTGCCAATTAATTGTCTTATTTACATACGATAATAAAAATATGATGTGCCAATTAATTGTCTTATTTTCGATATTTTTGTTTAAAGGATTACTATGGAGTTTTTCTGTATTTTCTCTAACACTCTCGAGGCCTAAATTTACTAATAGTCTTCGGATGTGTTGCGATACGTTATGATAAGAAAAAATCTAAAGTTTGCATTCAAAACCTCAACTTTTTTATGATTGCTTAAACTTTGAAAAGCTAAGTTCACTCCCCCATCCTTGAATTGGTAGTCAGTGAGCTCTATAACATTTACCTTTTGGATGACTGAATTCAATAGATTTGATTTGTGGCCAAAATATTTTTTTATTAATACAAAGGTTATATAAGGAAATCTCATTGTGCAGAAACTGAATTCATCATTGGAAATCTCTGAAGGTTTTGGGTAATTTAACACAGCATACCAAGAAGGAAATTGGAATTAAAGTTCAATGGAGTGGAAGCTGCCAGATGCTTAATATTGCACGCAAGGTATATGCACTCATCCTTACAAGAACAATGAAATTAAAGTTCATGGCCCCATGTTGTTGGATTACCTGAGAAAATACATGAAACCGTGATTTGTTTTTTTTTCAATTGACTTGACTCTCATTTTCTTTGCTTTTGGAATGTTTGATTTAAGTTATGTTTATATATAAGATGTTTGTAGATATACTTTTAAGAATTTTTTTTTGTAGGACACATTTAAACAGTTGAAATCTTGAAACATGTTGGGAATTTCCATGTTTTAAAGCTTAAACAATTTGGCTGATGACGTCCATCGATCATAAACAAGAGGTTTTATATGGTGCTTTATTTAACTGGTGGTGTATCATGATAGTTTTTCGGTGTATTTTTTCAGTTTTCTCATCATCCACAAAAGCTTTGAGGAATTATTTTTGTGAATGATGATGAAAAGCACACAGATAAATTATTTTCTACATTTTAGGTAACGTCGATTTTTACAAATGATGTTTGTACGGTTTATTTCGTATGAACATAAATAGCATTGTTCTTGGTTCATCATTGGATTAAAAAAGAGATAATGTGTATATGATTGATTAAATTTGTGATGTTTCGAGTAAATATATGATTTGTCGAGATACGAAGCCAATTATGTAATATATGAAATAACAAGATGATGGAAAATGACTTTGAAGGAAAGAGTATATGCAAACTCAAACTGAAGTTTAATCTGAGATGGGGCTTCGTCTTTGATTTTTTTTTTTTTAGTGGTTGTGACAGATTTTGCGAGACAGATAAGGAACAATGTACTGTCGCAACTTACTTTCTTCTTTTATCATTGTGCGTGTTAGTGTTCGATACCTAAACTATGAAGATCAGATTTTGATCTCTTATATTATTCACCAATATGGCCTTTGGAAATTGGCCGGCGAGATTTTGATGCAATCTACGCGACCTGTAGACTTTACATTAGAAAAAATTGATACACTAGAGATACTTTATTTATTCATTAATTTTATTAATTTATTATACTATATAATGTAAACAAAACGACGTCGTTTTGTATGGCGGGGCGGGACGGGTTTCACGGGCATTAAAAAAAATTGAACCCGTCTAAGACCCAAACTCACGGTTCTTCACCATTTTAGGACCCAATCCTATGGATGGATCTATCCGTCCGGTCCCAACGGGACGGTTTTTCACGGGTTTGACGGGTGTAGCGGGTTAACGGGTCCGACTTGCTCACCCCTACTTTTTATATTGTTGTTTGCATTTTTATTTTTATTTTTATTTTTTTGCAGTTGCTTATTGCTAATTTATTGTTGTAACTGTTTTTATGAAATATGCATTACATTGTGCATTATTAAATCTTCATATTCACCTTTATTGTTTGTTCTTGTGATGGTCTGCATTTTGTTTTTCTCGAGTTCTGGTATTTATTGTTGTTCATTTGGTTTGCAATTTGTTATTCCTTTATAATTGAACCAGCATGTTCTTGTTTGCAATTTGAAGTCTCTTGTTTACAATTTCTTGTATGATATTCCTTGTTTGCAATTGCAGTTATAGTTTGTAATTTGCTATTTTTAGGTTCATCTTTGCAATTAAAGATCTTAGTGATTGTTATTTGTTTTTTTGTGTCCGTTCAAACAATTACGTCAAATAAAAAAGGGGAGAAAACATTACATGTCTCCTCAACAACTTCCCAAAAGGGAAAAACAACATCAAATCGGACTACAAACGAAGCCATGAAAAGCTACAACATTCGTCGAGTACATTGAAAAACACCACAGCTTGAAACTACCTTTGTTGATTGAGCCTGCATAAATGAATTTGAAAGTCTTTTATTCATTAGATTTTAATAACAGCTACACCGTTAAATTTTATTAGAAATTTTTAATTATTAGCTTGTATCTTGCAAAAAATTGTGTTTAATGTACTAATTGTTACTAGTAGTTTGTTTATCCTTTCTTTTATATTTCTCGCTTTGTTTTTGCAATTTGTATATTGCAAATTGTATTTTGCATTTTGCTGTTACAACTTGGAAATATATAAAATTTAATGGATAATGAAAAATAATGTCGAAAAATTATGCAAATACATGTATGAGATCCTACCAAAATGTGACAAGTAAATGCACATATTACATCAATTTTGTGACGTTAAATATGCATTTCAAATTCATTTTGTTTTACTTATACATATATTCATCTAACAATTTGGATTCCTACCTATATAAGTATGGAATAAGAGGTGTCCAGCCAATTTCCAAAAAAATAATAAGTAATAGAAAATAGAAAAGGAAATTTACAAGCATAACCTATGCGGCATAATTATTCATTTGACAGACGATAATAGCACAATCTAGAATCCTTGTGCTTGAATCGAATCGAATCGAATCGAATTCATTTCTGTGTGGAGATCTGATGTTTAATGGCGGAATCTTGGGACGGAACTCTTTCTTCAACTGAATTCTATGTTGCAGCTTCCGCTTTCGCCCAACAATGGAGAAAATTCAACTCCTCTCTTCCGCACTGGTCATGGCTTCCTTCCCCAAATCGACCACCCTGGATTTTCCACGACAACCAAGTAAATAGCTTCCCTACCTACAGTCAATTTTTTTGATGAATTAGTTAATTGTGTATTAATTGTGATTTGTTCTTATTTTCTGATTTTTTTTTTATTGTGAAATTTAAGGTGGGATATTTATGTGTGGAACGTGTAATTCTTCCCAGGTTATCTGAGGTGGGTTTTCTCTCTCTCTACCGACGAATTTCTATTCTACGAATTTATTTGATGCCGCATTCGAGAAATTCTTGAAGTTCATTCAGCATTGTTTTGTAGGAAAGTTCTAATAAAGATGATGATCAGATAGAGAAAGAAGATTGTAATAGCGAATACGAAGATGAGTTCGTTGATACTGCTGTACTCGTAAGCTTCCCTTCCCCTTTTGTCGTTTTTCCTCCGGTTTCGAAGAAACGAACATTTGCTAAAGTTCTTCATATTATCCATTGAAGTGGCTTGAGATATTTGATATGGATGTTTCAATCTATATTCAGTTGTCGAACTTGAAAGCCGTTTTGGGCGTTCTTGAAGTAGCTTGTCCTATATGACATCGACACCATGCTAATTATATTGATTATTGATACTTATGTTTATCTATAGTAGAACTGCGTGTATTGAAACTAAATGGAGTTGAAATTGGCCCGGAATTCCGTATCTTGGAATCGATTACTAGACATGTCAAAATGTACTTATAATTTGAGAGATTTGTTATGCTTTTGGTGATTGTTTCGTTTTCCCGATAGGTCCAAAGAGATGGTCGTGGAGAACACCGCTACGACTTCCACGTCGTTTATAGTGCTTCTTATAGGGTTCCGGTGCTATACTTCCGTGCTTATTGCAATGGCAAGTTATTTTATTTATTTATTGTAGCTAAACTCAACTTTCAGTAATTATTGATTTTGCCATCTTGAGGAAAGAAAAGAACGAATCTCTACCATGATTGGCTATACATTGTGTAGATTTTATCGTCACAATTACAACAAGAACCACGTTCGTACAATAAGAGTTTTAACATCATCTAGAATCTGAAGATGCAAAAGTTGAATTTACCGCAATTAAATATATAGGAAGTCGCAGTATCGGTATGTTCAGATTCTTTTTTTGTTTTTATTTATGAGATTTTACTTCAATCAATTCTACTGTTGCAATTCTGCAGATGGGCAGCCTCTGTCATTAGACGACATTGAAAAAGATATCCCGGTTAACTCAGCAGAACTGATAACTCGGTCCAAGTGGACATTTATGACTCAGCAGGTTCAATTTCTTCAATGTCTACGACTGTTTCACGAGCTTTTGTCGATTCACTTTAGTATATTTATATATCGCACAACAAGATAAATATTTTTTCTTTTGGTGTCGATTAAAACTGCTAAGCATCTTGAAAACTTATGCCACAGTGATAAATAGTATACCATGTAATTTTATTTTTAAGTCCTATTAAGTAAACTGAGGGAATTGTTGGAAATCAACTGTAGGAGCACCCGATACTCGATCGGCCGTGGTATACACTGCATCCTTGTGGGACAAGTGAATGGATGAAGCTGCTGATAAATTCCGATGCTTCGATTGCTCAAAATCCGGTAACTGTAGAGAAATATATGGTTTCGTGGTTTTCAGTAGTCGGACAGGTCTTTGGTCTTAAAATTCCTTTTGAGATGCTTGATTTTGCTGCTACATAATAATCGACATTAGGGTTTTTTCGTTCTGGAATATATGATACATTGTTCTTGAATTTTGTACGTAATGTAGATGAAAAAAATTCTTTATTTCGGAATACAGAATGAAAAAAAAAATAAAAAATCGTTCCAATATCGAAAAAGTACATGTCGAAATCAGCAATTTTCGGAATTCCCGTTCCAATTTCCATCCCCTACAATTAGCTACAGTAGCTACTACAGATTCTGTTGAATATTTATCGGTGCATGAATAAAGCAGTTATTATGTTACTACTGGTTGAATGTCTGTATTGCCCCTATGCAATTTAGCAATATCTGCTTTAGCAGCTGAAATATGTGCAGCATCTTTAGTGGCTGCTATTATTCGGGTGAAAGAAGCAAGAAATTCTTTATTTCCATCAACGCCCTTCAGAGGCGACTCGATCCATCCTGTGCACTCGAATCCGAAATCTTGCACGCCGTTTATTATCTTTTCAAGAACCTATAAAACATCAAAGCCACACAAAATACAAACGAATATTTGCATAAACGAAGAATATGAAATCATGATAATTAAGGTTTAATCGAGATTTTCTTACCTCTTGATGGACCAAGGGATCTCTAACAATCCCGCCGCCTCCAACCTGAAGAAGAATCGAAAATTCAATTTTTTTCCCTAAAAGGCCCTTTTTTCAGACAATTGGACTATTTTCGTGCAATAACACATTGTAACCTGATAAAAATAATCAGAAGAAAAATTTATGTTTTACGTACTTGTTTTCTGTGAGCTTCGAATTGAGGTTTAATGAGAGTAACTAACATAGCCTCGTCCTTCATCAAACTGATAACTGCAGGCATGACCTGCAAATTTAAACGTATAATTATTTAAAAAATATATTGAAAAAAACAAATAAAAAATTTACGTTACGGAAAAAGACGAGAGTTGTCTCGAGTAACTTACTGTTAGTATGGAAATAAATGAAAGGTCTAGAGTAGCTAGATCGACTTTCTGTGGCAGCTCGGATAAATATCTTAAATTTGTCCGCTCAATCACACTTACACGATCATGTGTACGTATTTTTTCAGCCACCTAAACAGAAAACAAGAATACTGTAATAATTAGGACATATACGAATACAATTCTTTTTTTCAAAAGATCCAATCTTGAAAAACCCGAGGCTCTGTTTTAATCATCACTTTTAACGGCAGATTTTTCTTACTACGTCCCAACAATCTCGTTCAAGAAGATAATAAATAATATTATTACCACGTCTATATACTTTCGAACTTTCTTGAGTCTCGAATTTCATGAAAGAATTTGTTTTCTCAGACGGTGCCTTGATTCTAAACGCACTTACGGGAGAATATGGTACGTACGAAAAGCGTGATACTAAAAAAAATTGTCGGTTTTCATAGCATAAATCTGATCAAATTCAAAATTATGAAAAATGAGAGCTTTATTTATTAATAATAATCAAATTAAATAAAAAAAAAATTCCTAAAAAAAGATCCATTTTGGAAGAGTTGTACCTGTCCATAACCGACATCAACACCATAGACGAACGAAGCACCGTATTGAAGCAAGCAATCAGTGAATCCACCAGTAGACAGTCCTGAATCAAGAACCACTTTTCCAGTAACATCGATCTCTAGCTGTTCTAAAGCAGCCTCTAATTTGTGTCCTGCTCTGTAAGTATATATAATGCAAGAAAAATAGTTGAAATATCGACATACGAAACTAGACCAACATAAATTATCATTTGACATAGATATACAGATATACAGGTGGCTGTTTTGGAGTAATCACCTACATACATATTTCGGAATTTCAGCCTTGATCTCCACAACGGCTTTATCGGGAATCTGAGTTCCGCATTTGTTCACAACTTTCCCATCAACAAACACTTTTCCTAAAATTTCAAATAGGAAGTATATACTTAATCTCCTCAAATGAATTTCAAAATACTCGAGATTACTTAATGAGAATTAATGACCATGATTCTTGGATATTTGAAAGCTAGAGAGCATACCCTGAGTAATCCACGACTGTATGAATGTTCGACTATATTGTTGAAATCTTTCGAGACACACTTCATCCAATCTCTTTTTCCTTGAAAAAAAAAAAAAGAATCGAACGCGTGTGATAGTAAGACATTAGCCATGATGGCAATGTGTTTGTTTACACACACACACATACAAGTACAGAAAATTAGAACAAGGTAGGAAATTACTTTCTTAGTACTTTAATCTTGTCGAAACTCGAAGAAGCGAAACTCCTCAGGGACTGATTTACGGGGATCTTGACCACCCTCCTTGCTGATTAACAGCAATATATAATAGTATCATATTAAACACATAACCAACAAAAACACATTACCAGATAATTAAATCAAGTATATATTCAGCAAAATTAAAAACATAGAGAGAGAGCACTTCAATACATGGAAAAAAAGCTATCTTGCAATTTTAAATTGAGCCCATTTCCAGGGGCATTGATTACAAAGCATAAGAAGTAGCACAAATCCGAACTAAAGCTTCCCAAAGTTAACTACACAATAACATATCGATACATTAAAAAAAAAATCAAAATTTCATAATTTCGAGTTATCTTATTTTTATATAAAATTATCACGAGTTAAAATAAAGAAGTACCAGAGAAAATGGGAATCTTGCTCGAAAAATAGGCGACGAAAGAGCGTGAAATTGGTGCTCTCAGAATCTGTTGCAGTGCCATTTTCGCACAAGCAGATTATTAATTCTTTTTATTTTTTTTGTCTTGATGAGATTATAGGTTTTATGGTAATTTGGGCCGGGTTGAGAGCCCATATATCCAATACGGGCTAGGCCCAACCAAAACGGGATTCAAGAGATACCATACCACCACTATTCTGATGAAGAAGGGATGATAAATGATAATAATAAATAAATTAAAAAAAAAAAAAAAAGAAAAAAAAAAGAGAGGATGATCTGGATAAGGGATAAGATTACAGAGACAAAATTCAGCCAATGAAAATCATGACACTACAGCTGAGAGCCACAAATCTAACACCAGAAAGATATTACTTTGCCTACTCAGACTCAGAAAAAAAAAAAAAAAATCTTGATCATACATTATACATTTGTTCGATATATTCTTCCAACCAACCAATCCAGTGGTTAAACCAAAAGAAATGGCAACAACTGGTGCTTCAACAATGGCCAGCCAGCTCAAGAGCAACTTCGCTTCCTCTTTGACTAGAGGACTCATCTCCCCCAAGGGCATTTCCGGTACTCCTTTCAGGGTTTTGCCTTCTTCTAGAAGGACCTCTTCCTTCACCGTCAACGCCGTTAAGTCTGACAAGGTTTGGTTTTTCTTTTTTTCTAAATATTTTTTTGTTCAACCTAATGTTTGATTCTTTTTTCTGGGTTTTTTTTTTTTTTTTTAGTTTTACATTATGAATATTTATTATCATTTCTGGCAGTGTTAAAAATTGCATCTTTAATATAAATATTGAATCTTTATTGCATTGCATGCATGTTCTTCCTACTAATCTTGCATTGATCAAACCACACAAGTTGTTAAAGTTCTTGCCATTAATCCAATAAATGGATCTTATTTAGGGTATCGTTTATTCCGTAATTTTTCGAGCATGCTCGAAAAATCTTGGAATTAAAGAATTATTGAGTGCTCCAATCTTGATTTACTATTAACTTGGCCCTAATTGAAACTGCATAAACAAACAATGCCTTAGTATATATATAGATTTTGTACATTCATAACTCCTCTAGTATAATTTGTGCAGCCAACTTTCCAAGTGGTCCAGCCAATCAACGGTGATCCATTCATCGGAAGCCTCGAAACCCCGGTCACATCGAGCCCGTTGATCGCATGGTACCTCTCCAACCTACCCGCCTACCGTACAGCTGTCAACCCACTTCTCCGAGGAGTGGAAGTCGGCCTGGCCCACGGGCTTCTCCTAGTCGGCCCGTTCGTCAAGACGGGCCCACTCAGGAACACCGCCTATGCAGGTCAAGCAGGCTCGCTCGCAGCGGGTGGCCTAGTTGTAATTCTCAGCCTTTGCTTGACCATTTACGGGATTTCTTCTTTTAAAGAAGGCGAACCCTCGACTGCGCCCGCGTTGACTTTGACCGGACGGAAGAAGCAGCCCGACCAGCTGCAAACTGCCGACGGGTGGGCTAAGTTCACCGGAGGGTTCTTCTTTGGCGGGATTTCCGGGGTCGTTTGGGCTTACTTTCTGCTTTATGTGATCGATCTTCCTTACTTTGTTAAGTAGAGTGTTTTTTCGATTCGATTGTTGTAAGTATTTTGTGGTGGCTTTTTTCTCACATGTTGTATATTGGGGAGATTCATTCTGATACATTGGAATATGCTTCTTATATATGAATGTGTGGATCTTTCTTTTGTTTGACATTGTGAAATTGGTATTATTTGAATATATTTGATGAACATGTTAGATTGTAAATAAATATTGGAGATGTGTTATTAATTACAATGTTGCCATTTGCAGTTACAATCAGCTTAAACTTGACGATAATCTAATGATCCGAACTCAAACCAGCTTTTAAAAAACGATACATAATCGAGTATCGAGTAGCTTGGTTTTATTTTTAACCTTTTGTAAGAGCCATCTTTCGCAGCGGAACTTCAGTCATTTTGATCGTATTCTTTTTATTACGTCGACTTGGCGGTAGATCGACATTTTAGCTTGGTCCAAAAAACTTAATTTATAGCCGAAACTTGGCGGTAGAATTAGAACAAAATTTTTGAATTCCGCCAACTTCAATCCATAAAATTTGGTTTTTGGAACAATATTTTTCATTTCGAATTCCAAAAATTCGTATTTCTGATTCGTCCATTATTTGGAATCGGATTTCAATTTCCGGTCTGAATTTTTTTTTTCTAAAATTATGATTTCCAATTTTTCCAAAAAAAAGTACTAATTTCGGTCCAATGACTCCGATTTCGAGTAGAGATAATTGAAAGAAGAAAATAAAAAGTTGCCAAAGAAGAAAAAAAAATGCCCTTTTAATATATTAGCTGTGTGCAATTATTTATGTGACAAATGAGAACCAGAAAAATCCTATCTTCAATTTTTCAATTAGAACACCAAATAAAAAAAAATTAAAAACAAAATCCATTGAATTTTTTTGTCTCCATATTCTATCTATGAACCAACGGTCATAACTGTCATTTCTTGAAAAAAATCAATGGCAATCTGCCTTTCCTCTGCTTCATTTTCACTGCCCAAACACCACTCTCTGATTTCACCTTCTCAGTTTCTCCTCTTTACAAAGAAAAATTCCCTTCTCACTTGCAAATCAACAAATGATTCCAATGAGGTTTGTTTTATATTATTATTATTTTTTTAATTTTTTTTGTGAATTTTCATCTGATATTGGAAAATGGTGATGTGTCAGGACTATTTGCTGGATGCTCCGGTTTCAGTCGGAGACGGGTTTTCCTTCAGTGGAGGTCAGAATTGGAAATTTTACTAAAGAAAAAATCGCGAAAATCGGAAAATGTATAGGATCTTGATATGGTTTTTTTTTTGGACAGGGAAGTATTCGGATGAACCGAGTCCGGCCGACGAATGGTTCAAGCAAGGAAAATATGTAAGTTTCTTGCTCTTATGATCTTGATGAATACTACATTCATCTGCACTTGCAAATAATAAATATTTGTTTTTAAATCACTATTTTTTTTTTTGTGTTAATTAATACTTGTATTTTTATTTCACACATAATTAAGGTGAAAGCACACCCTGTCGGTGGCACCGGAGAGAAGGCAAAGGATCCGATTTTCGGACTTGTTATGGCTGGTTCGTCGCAGTCATCAACTGATCTTTTCAGGTAAAAATTCATTTATTTTATTTTTTTGTTCGAAAAAATTATCGTAAAGTTGAGAGGGCTAAAAAAACTACTACGATATTGAGAGTGTATTATTTGCAGGGAGAATTACGAAATTGAAACGTGCTCATTTTGTGCAATAGATGGTTTTGCGTCGAAAGTGGAAGCACAGCCAATCCACCGGTTATTCTAATTCACGGTTTTCCTTCACAGGTAATTTGTCTCACCATGTTTTTATATTGGCTTCGATTTTTCGTAGTCGAATAATACTTTTTTTCGTGTTTTTTTTTTCTGTTAATAGGCATATTCGTACCGCAAAGTTCTTCCCATGCTATCGAAGAAAAATCATGCTATTGCTTTTGATTGGCTAGGTAAGCAAGTATTCAATATTTTCTGCTGCACTTTTTAACTGTTTTTTGTCATTCGTCGAATTATATATATATATATATATATCGTTTACAGGATTTGGATTTTCGGATAAACCACAACCGAAATATGGCTTCGATTACACTTTAAAAGGTATATATAATTAAGCTTTTGAAGTTCAAATAATATCAAGAACATTATATTACATATTTCCTTCAATAAATTTACCAAGCTCATTTTTAAATAAATTCTCAGAATATGTAGACTCACTCGAATCCGTCGTCGACAAATTCTCGAAAGACAAGGTTACTCTCGTCGTCCAGGCACGTGTTTAACTCCCTTCGTATATTTTTTAATATATAAACATGTCGAATTAAAATGTGATTTGCGAATAAAAATTCATTCTTTAATTTCTAGGGGTACTTTTCACCGGTTGTCGTCAAATACGCCAAAGATAATCAAGAAAAGATTAGCAACCTTATTCTACTTAATCCTCCAGTAAGATCAATACAATCTTTCTTTATTAATTACTACGTAAGAACACGCGAATGCCTAATATTCTTTTTTAATTTTTTAAAAATATTTGCTAAAGCTGACAGAGAAACACGGAAACCTGCCGTCAACGCTTGCTATATTCAGCAACTTTTTGCTAGGAGAAATTTTTTCTCAGGTAATTATAAGATTTGCTGCATGCATATTGTAACTGTTACTTACCGCATCACTATTTGTTTAAAAAATAAATAAAAAATCGAGCCGAAACAGGATCCATTAAGAGCGAGTGATAAAGCCTTAACAAGTAGCGGTCCTTACAAAATGAAGGAAGACGATGCAATGGTTTACAGAAGGCCGTATCTCACTTCTGGTTCTTCGGGTTTTGCTCTCAATGCAATTAGCAGATCAATGAAAAAAGAATTAAAGGTTAATTTAATTTTTCGGAAAGTTTTATTATTGCATTATGCATGAACGGGATTAAATATTTGTCCGATTAATTTTGTAGGGATGTATCGAGGAGATGAGGAAAACTCTAATGGACGAGAATTGGAAAGTTCGAACGACTGTTTGCTGGGGTTTAAGGGACCGATGGCTGAGCTTTGATGGTGTCGAAGATTTCTGCAAAGAATCGAAGCATCAATTAATCACACTTCCCATGGTAAATAAATCGTCTTCCGTTTATCGATTTGGTCTTATCTTGATTAGTACTATTGCGGCAACCAAACGAGGCCTAAACGAAACTTGTTTTCCAGGCAGGGCATCATGTGCAAGAGGATTGCAGTGAGGAAATAGGAGATATTATTGCCGGAATCCTAAGCAAAAGAAGACGCATATGATGTATATGTATGTATATATATTACTCGATTAAATGAAACAATCAGGGGGTTGTAATATTACTCGATTAAACGAAACAATTTTCATTGTTTTCTCGACACAAAGATTAAGAGTGTAAAGATAAATTATTGGTAAATAAACTTTCTTGCATAATAGGAAATGTTACTTCATTTATAGCACCAATTCCACATTTTCTCATTCCTCTAAACAGCTACAACAAGCAAAATGTTCTCTGCAGAAATGAGGTTCAAAAGACGAGAAATCGTCTGATTTCTCAAAACCTCGTTTTTTCGTGAAAGCATATACCCAAACAAAACTTAGTCCTTGTCTTGCAACTACTGAATTGCAGCTTGCTTCTTTGCTTGCAATCTCTGCATGAACATCGGATTAGCTTTAAGCCTATCTTTCACCTCGGAAGTTCGAGCTTCGTCCACCATTTTCCTAGCTTTTCCAGCTTCCTCAATCAAAGCAAATAGAGTTCTTAGGCAATCCTTTCTGTTCTCTTCCCTATGTTCAAACCTGATTCGGAAAAAAAAATACGTAAAGAAGATGTGAAGATTATAACTGTCTACAGCCTCGTTTGGTTGTTAGACAAAGTCACGACTAATCAAATAATTAGGACTAGAATTTGATGCTTGGTTAGTGCAATAACTGCGCAATTATGCAACAATGAGCTCCTATATTGGCTTATACAATTGAGTATTATAAGATTGCATAATCTTATCTTGGGAACCAAACGAGGCACAAGCAGACACTGACAATACAGAAATATGAATCACGTTACCTTTCGCTAGTTATGGTAAGTTCATCTTTACCAGCATTGTACCGTTTTCCAGCCAATTCCCTCAGACGTATAAATTGATGCTTGGATAGGCCAAGCTCCTTCACAGTAACAGCCAACTTTACTTTACGGTTTTTGGGGTGCCATGCATCACCGCCAGGTGCAAAGACCACACGAGTTAACCAACGGAGAACTGGACCCTCGCCAGGTGGATCATCGACATCTTTTTTGTTGTCGGGCTCCACGTCGTTGTCGAACTGAGGTGGGCCCTCAGCCTCCATTAGCTTAGCACATTCCAAGACCATCTGGTCTTCAAACTCCTTGAACAGTTCATAACCTTCTTCAACCTCTAGCTCGCCCTTTTCGACCCTCTCGCCTATCTCGTTAAACTTCTTTTCTACCTTCTTCTTGATCTCGTCTGAAAAATTTGTACGTGATCAAGATTACAATAGTAAATAGAGGACATCAAAATCTTGAAAATAGATAAACCAGTGATTCATGGCTGCAAAAGCAGTTCTGCACCACGTTCTCGTAAGTTTCTGTAACTGCTGTGAAGACTAAAATCCTAAGTTGAAAAAATTACAATATATAAATCAAGTGGGAAAAAAAAACTAAGTGCAATTCAGGAGGACTCAAAAGAAAGTTCAAATATCTAGATCTATTCCATGAATTTTCAAATCATATTACATTTAAATCATCTTATTGTTAGTTACCAAATAGCATCTAAAAGAGTCCTTTCATCTTTTTTTTTTCTTTTTGTACTTACTTCTACACACAAAAACACTATGAAGAGAATGATATTATAATAAGTGAACTAAATTGCTATCATTTGATCTTCTTGTATACTTCATCTTTCAAGTATTGATATTTTTGTGCACTTTGTTTAGAGTTCAAGATCACAAACTCTTAAAGTACTATTTGTATGCAACCTGACACTATTATCTGGAAGAACAACAGTTTTGTGCCATATGCATTACCGCGCAGAAGTTCCAGGATTTCCAACCAATAAAAATCTTCCTACATGATATATTTTTTCATAAATGTTTTTGCATCCTTAACGCTGATACTCCAAGAACCCATACCCCATAAATTGTCGACACAATTTAACTTTAACGAAATCTGGTCCTTTCTAGTAAAGAAAATTCTAACAGTCAATTCTGGCATCTGAACCGAACAGTGACATGAATATAAGCAAGCAAACTTCTAAAAGTGATTCGACAAACATTTGCATTCCATCAAAGTGGTTCGACAATTCAAGATCACGAACCAAGTAGAAGACAAATAATTCATAAACATGATCCCCCATAAATAGCTCTATCAGACTAGTTAAAAAGCAAAGCAGAAACAACCATTAATTTACCTCGGCTAAAATTACAGGTAAAAGGGATTAAGTCAAACAGTAATACCTGGTAGAAGCTTGTCCCAGTTTAGCATATCCTCTAGTATTGCTTCACACTCCCTCGTATCATGAAGGCACCCATGCTCAGTAGCTTCTTTAATCATTTCGTCCCATTTCGTGTCATCCATGTTAAAATACGGATCATTAGCCCTCATTTTCTTCATAGTGATGTCCCTAGCATTGTACAAATCGTCAACCTCTTCATCGGTTTCATGTGCATCCTCGAAATCCGATTCGAAATCTTCGTCTTTTACGTTATCTAGTGGCTTCATCTCCAACTCTTCCTTTAATTCGTCATCTGTGTCCGCATGCTTCTCCGAAAGCTTTCTCTTTAGAATAGACTCAAAGATTTTCGGGAGTGCCTCCTCATTGAAGTTATTCAAATAGTCCTCTATCTGCAGTTTCAACTCTGCAAAAAATTGAAAATGTATTACAATCAAAATAAGACAGAATCAATAGCATTTAGCAACGTCCGGATATCTCTGCTTTTTCCATCTATTGAGTTCTATCATATTTTCCAACACAAATGCTGCAACAAAAGCAATAGCAAATAATCATGCACAAACATAAGTAACCGTGTTCTTCTTCTACACACAACAAAAACCAAATCAAACGAACAACTGAGCAGCAGGAATTTAGTTACGAATTTCTCCATGGGGTCGATCTTACACGCACTCACACATAATCTTACTCACAGAGTTCTGCTTTTCATTATTACAGAGAACCAAGAAATTTCTATAGCATTTGTTCCTTCCTTTTGCACAAAAAGAACAACATAAATAGGTAACAAATACAGAACCCAATAATTATAGTCACCTTCTCCTCAGAACCCACACACACAAACACACACACACCAAAAAAACAAAACCATGTAGATATTGTCTGAAAAATCGAACATTATTCAATTAGCATAATAAAGCATCACCTTTGTTGGTCACATCTTCTACCTCAAGCGTATCCGCCTTCTTCTCTTCGGGTAGGGCCACGCTAGTTTCGGATTCTGGTTTCGGGTCGGGATTCGGGATCTCATTTTCGGACGAGAAAAACCGCTGCTGTGTGGAAGGAAAGCTTTTCAGCAATGGTCCATTTCCGAAGAGGTAATTGGCGGGGTGATTATTCACACACCCATTAGAAATGACAGTTGCAGATTCGAGGTTGCTGGAGAAATGGAGATTGCGAGTATAGAGAGAGAAATTTCTTAGCAGAGCTCTTCTCATGATGAAGAAGATGGTTAGGGTTTTGATGGGTTCTGCTTGATTTTTAGCTACACAGTCTCAAAATGTAAAAAGTGACCTAATTTGTGGGAAATTAGAACCTAATTTGTCAAATTTGTCAAATTCTATTCCAAATTTTACAATTTTGGAATTGGAATAGGTTTTCATTTCCATCCGATTTTTACGATTTATTTTAAATCAGAATTGAAAATAAAGAAAATTTTAATTTTTGATTTCGAAAATAATAAAAAAAAAAATTAATTTAACAAAATTCGAGTATGTCTTGTTAGGATTTAGAAATAACACAATCACAAACAAATAGTGTAGTTGACTTTTTATCTTCCGCATATTTCTCCATCTCTTAAGCAATTTTGTTACGGTCGGAGTTGAAGACCGCTCCACTAACATAGGCGATTAATGGTGGACGGAGAGATTCATTGATCAAATTTATTCCACTATAGTACCTCTCGTGGTGCAATCTCAGCACGATTGAAAACTTCTTTAAGAAAGAATGAGACAACAACTACTTTATTTTTATCCTTTTCAAATGCAACTCGTTTGATTCTCGAAAATATCTTTTCAACAAACTCAATTTCAACATGTTTAGGAAGTGATCGCATGGATTCGAAGGCTTAAATTGCAGGGCCCACATCCTCTACTTAATAGGGTGCATTTCTTTTGTGAAACAATATAATGAGCATCGAGTTTTTTTTTAAGAATTTTCCTTCTTGGGGCATGTTTCTGCAGCGACAAACAAAACACGATGTTTTTTTAATTCATATACGATATTAGTTAACAAAAATGCGATAGTAACAAAGCAGAAAAATTCTTGATCTACACACGTTATGAATACCAAATAACTATCATACTATCGAACAACTTGCAAAATTATAGTGTTATGTAAATGCGTTCATTACGGCCAAAAAAATCCAAACACTCAAAACCTAGAAACGAAATATAAAATACATATTACTTAAAAAAAAAAATCAATAAATACATGTTCATAGTGGGTTAATTGGGCCTCTAAAAAATGAACTATTAGCTGAAAGCGGCCCATAATTGAACCGGCGAATCAGAGAACAGATCAAAACGAGTGGCCCAAAAGCTATGATGACGTGGCATGAACCGCGGGCCCCACATTCAACTCAATTCACCAATGAACAGTCACCAAGCACAAATATCCAAAAATTATTTCAAAAAAAAAAAAAAAAACTCATCCATTATTAAGGAACACATTAAACAATCGTTTTTTGTGATTCCCAATCTATGGTGGAATAATTGCATTTGCAAAATTTTTATTATTTCAAAAATCTTGGCTGGGTGGATTGTTTTGTAGAGATACTGAGAGAGAGAGAGAGAGAGAGAGAGAGAGAGAGAGAGAGAGAGAGAGAGAGAGAGAGATGGAGGAAATTGGGTTTTTGGGATTGGGTATAATGGGAAAAGCGATGTCGATGAACTTGCTTCGCCATGGATTCAAGCTCACTGTTTGGAACCGCACTCTCTCACGGGTACACTAATTTTCCCCCCTTGTGAATTTGATGTATTACTTGTTGTTTTTTGTACATCTGTTTATACTGTCATTAACGTATTTTAATTTTGTTAAATACTTCAGTGTTCAGTGAGATATTCGATTAGGGCATTGAACATAGCTGCCTAATTATGTTCATAAGTTGTTTTTAATTGTTTGTCTCAATTGCCCAACAGTAGTTTAGTTTGGGTTTATCTTGTAATTTATAATTCATCTCAGCCATGCATAAGCTGGAAAATTCTTGGCTCAATTGGAAAATTTGATATAATTTTGCGGGTTCGTGATCGTCTGCTTGTTACCGAGGTTCCCTCGTCATTGATGAAGGGAGGATCTTGAATTTAGAGAGAAAAAAACTTGGTTAATTTTTCGAGTTTATTAACTCGAAAAGTTGCTTTTCTTGCAGTGTGATGAGTTGGTCGAGCACGGGGCTACTATTGGAGAATCTCCTGCAGCAGTAATCAAGAAATGCAAGTACACTATTGCAATGTTGTCGGATCCTGCTGCAGCTCTATCGGTTTGTCAAATTTATTATGCTCCTTTTTTCCGCGTTTTTAATATTAATTATAGAATATGAACGATCTCGGTTAAGAATTTTGGTCGAATAGGTGGTTTTTGATAAAGACGGTGTTCTGGAGCAAATCGGTGCTGGAAAAGGCTACATCGACATGTCGACAGTTGATGCCGAGACTTCTTCAAAGATCAGTGAGGTTCGAAAAATTGCCCGCCTCTCATAATTCTCCCTTCGTCTAATAACTAAAGGCTCGATCATTGCTAGGAATTATATGAAAAAAAGGGAAAGAGTAAGAAAAAAATCATTTCGGACTGAGTCTGACTTATGCTCTATGACGATTTCAGGCGATCGCATTAAAGGGTGGTAGTTTCCTCGAAGCACCGGTATCGGGTAGCAAAAAGCCGGCTGAGGATGGTCAACTAGTGATCCTTGCTGCTGGCGAAAGGGTGAGGGACTCTTATTATAATAATAATACTTGTACGTTTATTCAGATGTAATTGTTCGAAATAGGACGGTATAAATTGGTTTCTAAGCTTCAAATAGGACTGTAAATCTTCACCGGGAGTATATAAATGTTTCATAAAGTTAAACTGTCTATCGTGGTTCGATTCTTCAGTACATATTTTAAACAAACTTCCCAATTTTTCCTAGATATGAATATACTTCGATTTTGTAGGCATTATACGATGCAATAATTCCTGCTTTCGACATAATGGGAAAGAAATCATTTTTCCTGGGGCAAGTTGGAAATGGAGCAAGAATGAAGCTTGTTGTCAACATGATAATGGGCAGGTAATTGTGCTTCTTTTTATCTTCTTAAAAACGACTAATCGTTCGTACATGTTTTACTGCTCCATTTACAAGAAATGGGATTTTTTTTTCTGGGATATTTCAAAACAATGTTTAATTTCCTAAATTACCTCATTCTTAATAGACTGTTCCAATCACACTCGAGTCTTTTTAAGTCCGCCTCTCTTAATTCTTCACCACCACTTCAAGATACAACTCTTTCACTGCCAAGTGTCGTGTTTGCTATTCTAATATATACATGCATTGCAGTATGATGAATGCATTTTCAGAGGGACTTGTATTGGCCGACAAAAGTGGACTGGACCCTCAAACCCTTCTTGATGTACTGGTAAGACGAACGAAAACGACAAATTTTGTTTATATTTCTTTTGGTGAGATATAACTGAGAGAGAGCAAATAAATTGTGTTTACGAAAAATGACACAGGATCTTGGTGCTATTGCGAATCCAATGTTCAAAATGAAAGGACCCTCTATGACAAAGAGTAGTTATCCACCGGCCTTCCCTCTCAAACATCAACAGAAAGATATGAGGTTGGCTCTTGCACTTGGCGACGAAAACGCTGTGCCTATGCCAGTCGCAGCTGCTGCTAACGAGGTATTAGACCCTTATTAATATATATTAATTTATTTGCATATGTGTGTGCGTGTGTGTGTGTGTTTTGATCGTTCGGTTCTTATTTTTGGTTGCAATTAGGCATTCAAGAAAGCGAGAAGCATGGGACTTGGGGACCTCGACTTTTCTGCTGTGCACGAGACTGTTGCATCTAGCAAAGGGTCAACCTGATTGATTGATACCATTATATATATATATATATATATATATATATATATATATATATATATATATATATATATATATATATATATATATATATACACACAACAGTGTTGCTTCTGCTGATTTTTCCTGGAATATTTTAGAAACCAGAAAAAGATAAGGTATGGCATCGATCATTTGGTAACTGCATTGGAAGAAACAGTTTGATATTGTCTTGATATATCAAATGTAACTGAAATTGCTTTATTTGAGTAGCCAGCACTTTCTATGTTTTTTCTATTAGTAATATTGAATGCAATGGTTTTAGGGTTTTTTTACATACATCAAGAAAGCAAAATAAGCTTCTTTTTTCAAGAGAAATACCAGCCGAACAGGTTAAGCAGATCCCGGGGCTATATATATAAATAAAACCTCACATTGAGACAAGTGCAGTTTCAAAACTCACTCTAATCAAGATTTGTACTTTGGTATATGCACACTCCACGACCGCTGGTTTGAGTTCGAGTCGGAGAGTAATGTACACTCACAGACCGCTGGTTTGAGTTCGAGTCGGCGAGATATGTACACTCACACCCCACTATAGAGATACAGATCTGTGTACGTACACACGTCTGGGGATAATTGTATCTAGGAGAAACTGATTTTAAACTAAAATACAATCTAAGACGGAATAGCTTGCAATTGATTCACTTAATACTTCCCATCTGGTTCTCACCGAACTTCATAAAAATCGGGGGTTTGACTTGATACCAAAATGGTGTCTCTTTAAATCATCTCTTGGATTTGGAGGGCTTGAATATGTTGTCCTTGTAGAATTTCAGTTCAGCTATGCTTTCTTTGATGTCGTCCATTGCTCTGTGTTTGTTTTCCTTTTTGGGAGCCTTTTTCTTGTCTGCCAAAACAAGATGTATTCTCATGTACAAAGGTTTCACAAACTCAGTTTACTGAATGGAGATTTGCTATTCTATACTGGCAAAAGATAACATGTACTTCTTTCTAACTCAAATCTGTGTTGTGTTTATTATTAAGAAGGATTGGGTTAGTCGATAATGTAAATGATAATTTCGTGCAAAAACTGTACCTTTTGGGAACCAACGGATGCATAACGCCTTGACACTGCTTACATCAACAAGCACGTGAGAGAAAAGGGCAGCCAAATCTGGCATGTACTTCTGCACAAATGTAAAAGAGATACTTATAACAAATGTTAGTATCTAAAGTTGGAAACATTGAGATATTTCATAGGTATAGTAAAAAACCAGTTGAAGTTTCCTTACTCTTAAAAATAGAAGATCCGTGTAGATAGAATTTCCAGCAATAAGAGGTGTACATGTGCCGATATGTTTCTTGACAAATTCGATGACCTGTATAGATGCAAGTGGAAAATAAGATGTATATGTGCAGCAAAACTTAGTTTGTGTTACACCATATATATTATGCAACAAAAGTATACAATCAAGGATCAAGAGTAGATGATGTGCTGCAAAGAAGAGATGAGAGGGGTTTGGTCCAATTCCTCTCCTCAACTGACTTGGGTTCGGAAAGACAAAAACAAACAAAAATTGCCGAGTTCTTATAAGAGATAAGAATTATAGACAGAAAACCCTATCAGAGGGTACAGCAAGGAACCTAAACAGTATATACAATTATATATAAACATATATACATATATTATGGTAACAAGAAGGCAATTACCTGCTTTTCAGCTTCTTGTTCAGTTATTGTACTTTGAAGGACTCTCTCCGTCAAACCTAAGTACCAATAGAACTTGTGTCATTACTCCCATTCTTTTGATCAGTTTGTCCACTCTTAGAAATACAAACTAATAGTAATTGCTATTTACTTCATTTTCGAAAATGCCACTAAAAATCAGTACAATAATATCATATGTAAACATTAATCTGCAAGTGCTATTTTTTTCAAACTAGGAGATCTGGGGACTAATTTACGACAAAGAAAGGTCAAGTTGACCAGACGAGTCAGCGGATTCTTAATTGGGGAGAGTGGTGTTTTCTGAAACCATAACTCACTGATGTTTTAATTGAGATAGTTCCATATCACGAAAGGCAATAAAAAAGACGAAGTTACGTACCACTTTCTGAGTGATGTTCTTGACACCATTCTCCCATTTTATCAAGACACTCCTTTGTTTGTTGAATAACCAAATCAGGACCCTGAAGAAAGAAAGATGTAAAAACGATCAGTTATGCAGCAGAGTGAAATAACTGTCAAATCTTAAAGATGAGAGATATTAATAACTGCATCACACTGTTCAACAAGCCTATGCCAACCTAAAAACAAAAACATGATAATCTTTTTCTTCTGAACAAAAGGAAGTGTGTTCTTACCTCAATTGACTTCGTTAACTTTCCATCCGTGATCACACAAGCAATCTCCAAAATTCTATCAATTTCAATATTCAAGCCTACATAGACGAAAAAGAGAAAGGATATTAACATATTATAATCAGTCCTGTCTGTTTTAAACGCGTCATGCCTTAAGCATGATCCCAGGTGAACATTACATCGGGCAAACACATGACATAAACCAAAAAGGGAATTGCTATCTCATTCTTTAACCCTTGATCTTTATAATTTTTTAACAGTGGTAGCAATATTTAATATCTTCTCCTTTACAAAACACTTATGTACTGAACATGAAGGATAATTTTGTAAAGTAGTGAAAAATCCCAATTAATAACATGTCATACTTTTTTACTTTCAATTAAACGAAGTGTCCGTGTTACCAAGTCAATAATGCTCTGAAGCTGTTATAATTTTGTTCGACATGTGTGCCTGGCCTCTGCAACCGAATCGGAGGGGAAATATATGTAATGGGTGCAGGATAATTTGACAAAAACACAAGAAGTTCTAAAGTTCAAAGTGCAAAAAATTATTTTCTCATGCTTTCACAAACAAAGCCAGGCTCCACATACTTGCATCGATTTGATCATATTCTTCAACATAAAAACATATTAATAAATAAAAGACAGTTGATGGATCCACATTACACGTGAATCTAAAATCTCACCAGTCATTTCCAGGTCAATCCACACAAGTGGCATCTTGTACTCTCCTGGAATTGTTTCCCAGGTTTGATCCCCGTTTTCATTTTTCAGCATAGTTTCATCTTCTACACCAACGTCTACTCCTTTATCGCCATCTGCATCACGAAGTGTTGTTCATTAGTGACAATTTGCATTCTCACCATGACAATGCAGCACACGTTATTTCATACCTGGTTTTTCACAACTATCAGGGGCAGCAATTTCAATTGAACTAGATCCAGTAGCATCTTCAGCATCCACCGCAAGCGATGTAAACGAATTCGATAGTTTATCCATCGCTACTTATGCTAATTACTGATTCTCTAAGCTACTGTTTGAATATAAAGGGGAGTGATAGTGAACAATTGCAGTTGATCTTCATGGTGAGTCGGTCTAATCATGCATCACAATTACCAAAAACCAATTATCCATTTCAAGTTGGTTAAATAACAATCAAACCCAAACTTAAGAACACGAAATCAAAATTCCATCCCCAATTTTTGTCAAGTATACCAATAACTACAAAGTATTTGAAATTTCACCGCCAGAGGGTTTTATAACAAACGAGCCCCCATTTTTGGTTAATCAACATGAAGCTGGTATACTAAACCCAATCAATCACACGAACGAGACGAAATTAAGCAAGGAGGAAGCGATGGAGTATACCTGTGAGAGATTTGATTACTTCCAGGGCGACGGCGGAGTAGAGGCGGAGCGACGGAGGAGGAGGAGAGAAACTGATGCTAATTGCAGTTGAAGACTGCAAGTGCGAATTCAAAGGAACGAATAAGAAATTATTTTTATTGCTATTTAAGTTGACTAATTATCATTTTTTATTTCTTTTTCAAATATAATAAAGTATTAATAGGATAAATTATGGCCACAACCCTACGGTAATGTTAAATTACGAAAAAAAAACTATTTTGTTTGGATAATTACGACCACTCACATTAACTATGAAATTTCTTACACTTCCACCCTTATGGTGTCAACTTCAACATAATCTTCTATGTTTCGTGAACTAGTTTGTACTTGTTTTGTGCAAAAATGCAATTTCTGATGTACCACAATCTGATATTTACAAGTCAAAAGATACATCTAATGATTATTTTGTTTCAAAATGTGGAGTTCGAATGAGATAAAACGGGGTACAAATGGGAGAATATTCCACATAATCTGTAACATTCTATTAAATTTAATATCGCAAGAGTGGACATATAAGAAGATTCACAATTCAGGGGTGATTGTAATTACATAAAAATGAGGGGGTTTTTCGTAATTTAACCTTACATTAGGGGTAAAAATTCCAACTCCTTTGAGTTTTGACACAAAACGAACCCGGTCTACAGCAGACTGGTTTGGGGTTTAAGGGTTTTATTATGATTTAGGGGAAAAGGGTTTTTCTACACAGTTAAGTAGGGTTTTTTGCAGAAACCACCCTTGTGTAATCTCTAATTGCTGAAAAACCCCCTATGTTAAAAAAATTAGCAAATACCCCCCTATAAAAATTAGTCAAAGGCAATAAGGCCCCTGCTAGCTGAACGTGTGTAGCACGCGCGAAATGTGCGAATAGGTGTGTATGTTTGACGTGAAAAGACTCAAATAGCATTTAAATTAGAAATTTAAAAATTATAAATTCACCCCATAATTTTAATGAGGCCCAAAATGAAGTTCTCAAATTTTTCAATTCAATCCCCAATATTTCTAAAAAACCATCTTCTCCAATCAACCTAAAACCAGATTTTTCTTCCCCACCACACACCTAAAACCGCCAAAAGTTTCCCCCACCATCAAATAATCCATTACAAATCAACAGACAAAAGGGAAGCTCAAATTCAATTCAAGCCAAAAATGAATTGCATTTGTAATTCCATTACAAATGGTATATTTGTGTGTGTGTGTGTGTGTGTGTGTGTGTGTTTAAGACCCACCATTAGAGCTCGTGGAAGGGAGTTTGAGCAGACACAATAAACTTCTTTAGCCTCCTAAATCCAAACAATGGCCTCTTACCTCGTGCTCTTCCCTCCGATCAGACGCACCAGGTTGTTTTTTTTTCCTTTCCTTTATTTTTTTTTAATTTTTTTTTTCTCTTTTCCTATTTTTTCCACAATTAAAAACAGGCCAAATGAAATTTAACAACCAGAAAATGTCTCAAAACTAACAAGAGCTATCTTCCCTTTGTTGTTTGTTCATGAGAAGGTCGTCGGTCATCTTCAACCTTCACTGCCGCCTCCATAGTGATTTTTTTCCAAACTTTCCTTTTTTATTTTTTCCCTTTTTTTTGTGTTGTAGCGTGGGGTATTTAATTAGGGGTGGTTTCGTCATTTCATGGAAGTCAACACCCAATTTAAATGTAAGGGGCAGTGTGCTTTGCAAAATAAAATATAGGGAGGTCTTTGCTAATTTTTTTTACACAGGGGTCTTTTTGGCCATTCGAAATTACACAGGGGGTTATATGCAATTAGCTCCAGTTAAGTAGCCGCTTTCTTCCTCAACACGAAGGAGAAGAAGTGAATCAAATTTACTATTCTTCTCGCTCCGATTCATCTCTATTCCGATTAATCCTCTCCGATTCGAGCCGGATTACAGAAATCTGGAAATGGCAACTCCCACCCCGCCGCCGCCCGCTACTGCGCCGCCTGCCGCCGCCGAGCCGCAGAAAACTGACTACCTAAACCTGCCTTGCCCCATTCCGTACGAAGAAATTAGCCGCGAGGCACTCAGTTAGTGCTGCTTTTTCTCTTTGGTTTTTTGTTCGTTTTCAATATGATTCATGTTTTTGTGGTTTGACCTCTACTTCCAATTAAACTGATTCATTTTTTTACCCGCAGTTATTTCTGATTATGTATTTCAGTTTCTGGAACTTCGTTGCTTTATTTTGTGTTTTGTTTTAAAAGTGCCGATCACAAATGCTGGCAACTATAATCGAGCTTGTATTATTGTTCTCGTTATGAATGGAGGAACATACCTCTTTTGGATGATTGGATATCCGATTGCCATTCTATATGATTAGCTTGTGTTTCTTTTCTGAATTTTACTTTATTTCTCATGGAATCATCTTAGAATTGACCCTGTTAATCTTGGAATTTTGTCGAGGATAGAAATTATTCAAGAGATTCACATTTTTTAATAGGGTTTGTCATATGTAATTAGTACCAAATCTATGAAGGATAACCTTTTATTGTTTTGCTATTGCCCGGAAAAGCTTTTTGTGAGTGAAGGTATGCATTCAAAATTCTAAACTATGTTTGTTATTGTTGCCAGTGTCGTTGAAGCCAGAGCTTTTTGAGGGAATGCGATTTGATTTTATGAAGGGACTGAATCAGAAATTTTCACTCAGTCATAGGTGGTTTAGTTTCATTGTTCTTTTACTATATAGTATTTGTATTTCCTTTTGTTTCTATCTTTTCTTCGTTTGAAGATGTTTTTTCAGCCTTAGTGCATATTCTTTTAAATGCTAATCCGTTTCCTTTTTGATTTATAAGTGTGATGATGGGACCTACAGAAATTCCTGCACAGTCTTCCGAAATAATTAAAATTCCCACTGCTCATTATGAGTTTGGTGCCAACTTTATGGACCCAAAGGTATGTCGAGGTTTGCTAACTTTTCTTATTAAAAGGTTAGTTTGGTTAACCAAGGAGAACTATTTTTTCTTTCACAGTTCATGCTTTTCGGGAGGGTGATGACGGATGGGAAAGTAACTGCAAGGCTGAAGTGCGATTTGACTGATAATCTTACTTTGAAGGGCACTGCTCAAGTACGCATACTTGTCATCAATGTTTTAAAGTTGACAGCCGTCCAGGGGCTTTTACATATTTTTCAGTTTCATTAATTAATATATGTTTCTTTCTATAGCTTACGAGTGAGCCACATATGTCACACGGCATGTTCAACTTTGATTATAAGGTAAACATTTAAATATCTTCATCAGGTATGTTGGTTTTTTTAAGCGCATGTGTTTATGTAACCTTTATACGGGCATACTACATTTTCCTGTAGTAAATGTTGCTAACTAGTGTATCAGCACATGGATTGGTCCAGCTGATGTGGCAGGTCATCAAGCATAAGTCTGATGCATTTGTAGTTTTTGAGTGTTTAAATTAAAGCTAATGATGTTTCATCTTTAAATTACATGTAGGGTTCGGACTATAGGACTCAGTTTCAACTAGGGAATGGAGGCTTACTTGGTGCAAATTACATCCAGGTGAATGATCTAGTCTCCAACTTTGTGAGATATTTATTTTAAATAGGCATTCTAACTATCAAAAGTAGAAGTTTTCTGCAGGCTTTTAAGTTTTGGGCATTGATAAGAAACAATAAGAAGTTAGTGGACATCAGTTTTACATGTAAATGATATGTTATTTCAAGGAGGCCACTCTTGAATCATTGTCCTAACAGCTTGTCTTTTTTTCTTTTTCTTCGTGTTTTGGTGTATTACAACTGTGCATTATTGCTCAAGTAGTTATTGTGAAATGTTAACGGTTGAAGTTAGAATTTGAGAGTGTCCTGGATTTTCTTTCAAGTGTTGTATTGCATCATACTTTACTTTTGGCTTGTGGAAGTAGTTTAGGAATTTGGACTTCAGTCATTCTACCAAATTTCCCTTCACCGATTATCAAGGGTAGGTGGTAAGAAACTATTTTAAAGTTTGCCACGGAGCACAACTTTGCTTTTCAGTATTAATTTAGGAAATTAGGTAAGTCATTTGTGCTCCAGAGTAGGCCCGCATACTAAAAGTTGCTTTTGGCTTGCCCCATTAACGATGAAGAGTTCTTATAAACTGCAGAGATACTTGATGATTGTATAAGCTAGGATGCAGTCACTTCGACTAATGTTTATGTGATATAAACTAAAAGAAAATTTCAGAATGTTATACCATTCTTCCAGCAGTAGGAACTTACAGAGGATATGATTTTATTTTTTTGTCTGGTCTATATCTTGTAATAGTGTATACTGATTTGTAGTTTTACACGTATGCTTGCAGAGTGTGACTCCTAATTTATCCTTAGGTGGTGAAATATTTTGGGCCGGTCAACATCGAAAGTCTGGCATCGGCTGCGCTGCGCGTTACAACACTGATAAGATGGTACTTTTATAGGATATTTATATTTATGTTCCAATGCTTGCTTTAAGTTCCATGCGCTTACAAGAACAACTGTATCTTTCTAGTTTGTCACAAGATCTCGTGTTGATTTGCTAAGGTTTTGTTTCCCTTTTAGTTGCGGATCTTTAAAGTCATCGGATTAAGTGCTTTATGTTTCACGAGAAATATTGTTAGTCTCAATCAACAGAGTAGAAAAATGAAATTGTAAGAGAGCGAAAAAACATACCTTAATTTTGCTTCTGAGAACAAGGATATATGCTTCCAATTCATATGCATAAGCCTGCTATGTCATATTCCACTTCTTGAAAATCGATGATATTCTTGTGGTCAAATTCACCTATGCAAATAACTATTTGCTTTTCTTCAACTTTCGGGCAGTGGGAAAGCAATCTTCTTGTTTTCTATTTGTCAGACCTTATATGATTTTTACTTATAGAAGAAAATATGTGATTTGATATCTAACTTTTCTGAGTTAGGTTGCATCTGGGCAAGTTGCCAGCCATGGGATAGTTGCTCTAAGCTATGTCCAGAAAGTATCCGACAAGGTAAATTTTGTCTATTTCATGCAATGTGCTGTAATTTGGTATATGTCTATCCAACAATTTCATGTTTGTTGTTTTTTTTTTTTTTTTTTTTTTTTTTTTGCATTTAGGTTTCTCTAGCATCAGACTTCATGTACAACTACATGTCAAGGGATGCCACAGCCAGTTTTGGTTACGATTATATCCTTCGGCAGGTGAGTTCTTTTCGTATAATTTGAAGTTTTATGATGCAATACTAGCAATATAGTTCTTGGACTAGTTTTCACTCTACATCTTACATTTGTTGAAACACGTGTTAATTGACTCTCGTGGTCTCTTTTTGGCAGGCCCGTTTAAGAGGCAAGATTGACTCCAATGGCGTCGCATCTGCTTTCCTTGAAGAAAGATTTAACATGGGTCTTAATTTCATTCTTTCTGCTGAGGTGAGTAACAGTAACCCGCTAAACGTTTTTTGTTCTCTTTGATATAGATTCATTTCCCAGTTTCTTTTATTCGAATTTAACGCGTTCAATAATCGGAATATTGCAGCTAGATCACAAAAGGAAGGATTACAAGTTTGGCTTTGGTTTGACAGTGGGAGAATAGAATAGGAACAATATTTGTTCAAATTCCCTTCTTAACCAAAAGAAACGAGTTTTGTACTTTGGTCGATTGGTCGAGTAAACATTATTTGTTGGCAGTGAGATCTGCTACGACGTAATATAATTCACTAGTAGTTGATTTTTTTTTAATTCCCCTTGAGAGACTCGATTTTATATCTATAATCGATCAAGTAGATATTTATCGATATAACTGATTACGTCATTGGATCAATAAAATTTACGACGTCCTTTTCGATCTTACAGTGTAGAGAGTGATGTCAGTTATATTACAATTGATTAAACTCACACCGTTGATACAAATTAATACAATTTATAGTATATTGCCATTTGTATTAGTCAATTTAAATATAATAGATATTTCAACTTCATCAAGATTTTAAAAAATCCCATTTAAAAAAAAAAATTAAGTATCATCAAATTGTTTTAATTGATGTGAATATATTCTAAGTGTGCAAGATGACTTATTCCAAAACAATAATGTCAAATGTGGTCCCCATCACCCAAAATCTTGTTCCCTCTTATTGGTCTTATCCATTGTTGCTTTCTTTTATCTTTATATATAATTCATGAATTTCCAATTATTCTAAGTACTTGTTACAATTGATAGTAACCCTATCTCTTAAATAATAACAAGACCTGAAGATTACGATTTATTTGATGCTACACATGATGAAATACAACAGATGATTATGAACCGTTAATCTGCACATAATTACATACATTTGTGTGTATGTGTACTTAGCGGAAAATTATTTTACCATATCAACAGTTGAAAATCACCCGACGTGTTTCATCGGGTGCAGTATCTCAATGACCAAACATTACCCTTGTAACAAAATTTCAAAATATCTACCTAATTATCTTGTTCCAAAGATAAATATATAGTTTAGAAAATTCAAAATTCAAAATATATCATAATTATATATGTACTCCATTATTTTAGAATAATTGTCGATTGTGCCTTGCACATATTGCTTTTGAATAATTCCAACCCTTGATATGAGGCTCTCCTCTCCATTTATTTATTTCACACATTATTATTTATTCTTTCAATTTTATTAATTAATATTTAATTGATATGAGGCTCACATCTATATATAGTGATAATTCATTTATAGTTGAAGGGTCGTGATCCTTACCACAGTAGCTGCCACGTGGCGACCACCCTGACAAAAACCCCCAATTTCTCATTATCTGTGAGTGAAGGAGCAAAAGTAGGCAAAATTAGTTAATTCGCGTGCAGATAAATAATTCAACGTCAACTTTATTTCTCAAAGATCCAATTTTTATTTTCCTGGTGATTTCTTACTCTCGAATTTTTTTTTTCAAGAAATTCCTTTTTTTCATGTAAGCTACAGATCCCTGATCGTTTACTCTGTGTATGTGTGTAGTACGTGTTTGGGAGAAATTCAATCAATTTTTTTTGAAGATACAGACAGCTCTGTGTTTTAATTGCAAAAAGGCATGATTTTTTTTTTTGTATGGGATTCTTCATTAGTGTGTGTGTATGTGTAAGAAGGTGATATGCTTACATGTTTTGTATTCTTCCTTGTTAGTGATATGCTTCTGTTAATACTTAGCTGAGTATCTTATTATATAAGTTTGTAAACCATTGTAGACTTACAGATCTTATCTCTGTTTCTTGGCTTCTGTCAAGCTTGGAATGATTCTTGAATTTCGAACTTTTCGTCTTCTTCCATCATTGTAATTTTTTTTTTACAGATCTTATCTCTGTTTCTTGGCTTCTGTCAAAGTTGTAACGAATTCTTGAATTTCGATTTAATTTATAGCCACGATGCAAGGAGTAAGGCGATCGATTTTCGTGCACGGGAATGTTGTCAAGAAGGCTGTTCTGAGCCATGTTCGTGTTATGCCTCCAGCCACGCGTTCGCTTGTGTTTGCACGCAGTGAATCGACTGCCTCAGCTGCGCCTGCCCGCATGGAAGAGCATGGTTTTGAGAGCACCAAAATATCCGATATTCTTTCCGGCAAAGGGAAAACTGCGGATGGGTCCTGGCTTTGGTGCACCACCGAAGACACCGTGTATGATGCCGTCAAATCGGTATGCATTAATTAGTTTAAACATGAATTCAAGTACCCGATTTATTATAACTAATTCTAATTGCGGTATATGTGTTACTTTGAATGAAGATGACACAGCACAATGTTGGAGCTCTGGTGGTTGTTAAACCAGGAGAGCAGAAGTCGATTGCTGGGATTGTTACTGAAAGAGGTATACTTGTGAAAATCGAGCAAAATCATTTCTTGATTATCTGTTTACAAAAAAAAAAAAAAAAAGAAAAATAGAGAAAGTTTGTTGATGTTTGGTTATTGTCGGTGTAGATTATCTCAGGAAAATGATTGTACAAGGAAGGTCATCCAAGTCAACCAAGGTTGGAGATATCATGACCGAAGAGGTATGTATATATGATGTTTGTTATATGAGTTGCATCTCGAAAAATTGCTATAATACGTTCCATTTTCAATGATTCGTATGACTTCACTATGAAAAAAAGAGACTCTAAATCCTAATGATGGTTCGATTGGTTCGATTGCAGAACAAGCTTATTACTGTAACCCCGGATACTAAGGTTTTGAGGGCAATGCAACTCATGACAGGTATTTAAAAAAATATATAAAATAAATAAATAATAATAATCATAGAAGTCTTGTGTAAATAAAGAATTTGATTTTACCCTTTTGTTGATTGGCAGATAATAGAATCAGGCATATTCCGGTGGTGAACGAGGGTGGAATGATAGGGATGGTGTCAATCGGAGACGTTGTCCGTGCAGTGGTGGGCGAGCACCGTGAGGAACTGAACCGCTTGAATGCTTTTATTCAGGGTGGTTACTGATGATGTCGACATTGATGATGTCATGATGGTGTCGATAATGATGATGATGATGAAAAAGCCGTTTGTTTATGTCGAGTTGACGGACTAGAAAATGTTGTAAATATGTGTGATGAAAACTGCACCTCTGTTGGAAAGCCTGAATCTGTTTTCCGCATCCAAATAAAGTTATGTCGACTGGGATTTGTGACAATAAAGTGCACCCTAAACATTGTTTTCTTCGTTTTCTTCTTCGTGTGTGTTTGTTGGTCTGATCAGATAAACTGCTCCTTCGTAGTTGCTCGACTTTATATTACTGTGGTTTCTCTTATTGTCATTGGTCAGCCCTTTACATTAGTATAGTTATCGAAACACAAGTCTGTATCCGTAATTACAACAAATGTCAAAACAAAGCTTATGAGAAATAAATAGAGAATCTATTGCAAAATTATGAAATTGTTATTCACTGCCACGTAGTAAGGTAAAATCGCAACTGTGAAAAGTGAACCTGTTTTACAAGTTATAATGATTTATCAGCAGTTGAGGTCTTCAAAATCGATTTCCTTGTCAATATATTTTCAAGCTATAGAGTCTAACTGGAAATAAGACGGCCCGTTTCTGTACTTAATATGTCGACTTCCTGTTGCTATCATGATCAAGACGCTGATAGCAAAACCTTGAACGGAAAGTTTCTGGAAATTGATTAATATAAAAAAGTTACAAAGGTGAAAGTGCAAAATCAGATTCAACTTAAGAGATAATTCATAATAGTACCTGAAATATCGAACTGCCCCCGGTAAAGATCCTACTTCAGGGGCTTCACACCCTAAGAAAGTTCAACGAAAAGTTGCAAGACTGTTAGCAAAGTGATTTCCTATTTCATTTTCGATTGGCAAAATTGCATATTCTGTCAAAATATACCTTAGCAGCCCTGTACTCGTTCACTGCCATTCTAAGAGAATCATCAGATAGTATCAACCGTGATAAAGCTCCAGTGCTCAAACTGCCAATTGTCAGTATAGAAAAGACTAAAAGTACCCTTTTGGAAATTCCAAGTTTCTTGACCGAAACGCCCGCCACAAACGAGAAAATAGATTATGTTTGGAAGTATTATACACGTACCCTAACTTCTTTGCAGCGTCTGCAACAGAACCCTCAACCGCAAAGATCAGGTCAATCAAAGCCTGCATTCCCTGAAGATTTAAGAGGGTAGGCAGAAATTGAATCACTGTTGTATTCGATTAACTAAAAGGAGTGTCGGACGAGATAAAAAGGCAGACCAGAGCAAATTTAGGATTATTAGGTCCAATCTGAGAGCCTTTTTCCGATCCTCTTATAGTCGACTTTGCAGGAAGAATCTGAACAAGTTCTGGAGGAGGTACGTAATTATCAAGATCAACACTGTTCCTAACTAGATCAGAAGAGAAACAAGTCTTGTTTTCAGTCTTCGCCTCGGAATAAAACCAATCCAAAGCATACAATTAAAAATAAATCAAAAGAAAATAAAAATTTACAACCTTTAAGAGCTAAAAATGTCCGGAGTCGAGCAAGGGCTGCGGCTCGATTTCTGTGCTGTGATCTATCCTCCGAAGCCTGTCTCAGTTGGAACATATTAAGAACACATTACATGAACAATATAAGGACAAAAACATCATAGGTAATCTGCATGAAAACCTGAGCTGTAATGCCAGTTGGCAGATGCTTAAGACGCACAGCCGACTCACGTTTGTTGCGGTGCTGTCCACCTGGACCCGATACCTTATAAGTATCCATCTCACACTGGCTCATTAGCTTATCGTCTGTCATCGATAGGTACTCTTTACCACCAACAGTCTCACAAGTGTTGCTATTACTGTTACTACTCGAAGAAGCACAACTGTAGTTTGCGGAGAACACCTCCACATTAATAACTCCACCTGAAAACCCTCTTTTATATGCTTTTTCAACCAAGCGGAAACTTGTGTAAGTTCGATAATTGTTATTACGATACCACCGAGAGCAAGCAGAGGCAGGCTTTGTGAAACTGCAAATGCTATAGCTTGGGAATCTTAAAAATGATCTCACAATAGAATTAGCCATCTGGTTTGCACCCGACATACAAGCCCAAATTAATCGGCAAATCAGGAAATGAATATGATTCACCGTCTGTGGATCTGAAAGAGTAATTAAATTTGTAAGAGAAAACCCAAAAAAACAAGTCTACAACATCGCCCAACAGGTTCGTATTATCGTCAATATATTCGATTTTTTCCATCAGTGGCACAATTTAAACAATGGCAGCTGCATAATGTTCACTTAGTTCTACTGAAATAAACGAATTTTATTCAATTGTATAGGGAAAAAAAGATTTAATTGTTTCTACTTGACTGATTATTGTAGTAGATAATCCCCAAATCTCAAACATATGAAAAAACTCAGTATCAATTATCAAATAACAACAGATTAAGCCAATTGAAGGACTGAATCACTTCGCCCAGTATTAAACAAGCAGAAACTCATGAAATTTCGCATTAACCAACCAAACAAAATTACTTTCCCGCGCCAATTTTTCCCTCCACAGTTAAAAATCCAGTGAAAGAAATGAAGAAAATTAAACTATGTAAACAAAACAAAATCGTCTAACCGTAAAATAACCGGCTATCGCCGCGGCGGAGGGTGGTGGCGGGCCGGATTGGAAGGCGGAATGCCGTTCAGCGTCTGCGATGTTTCTGAGGCTTCGTTGGTTGAGTTTGAGTCATAGTTAAATTATAATTTATAAATTGATTTCATGAATTAATTAATATTAATAATACAATATATATATATATATATATATATATATATATATATATATATATATATATATTAAATTAATAATATTTAATTATTTAGAGACACACAACATAATATACACTATACACAGGTGAGATAGAATATTCCAATTTGTCATCTTCATTGATGTCCAAAAGGTGTGCCCTAATTTTGAGAAGAAAGGGGCCCCTTTTGGACATCTCTGATTCGATGGCATTCAGTATCCTTACATTGCTCGGTTACCAACTGCTCCTATATTCTATTGATTATTATTAAAACCCTCGGATTCCTTTTTTTTTTTTTTTTTTTTTTTTTAATCCCACTTCATAATTATAAAAATATTCGGCGGGTGCACGAATATTCTTTTCAATTCGTTTCTTCTAATCGGGGTTCAATATCTCACCTGCTGAGATAAATCTTCTCCAGCTTGATCAAATTTAGTTTGTGGGTCGGGTGAATTCAACTTTTTTTTTTCTTTACTCAAAACTGATTTGATTAGTTTTTTGACCCATTACAATGATTGTATTGTAGGGTATATTCAGATTGATTTAGGGAAAAAGAGCTGAATTGAATGCAGAAAAAATTGCAGATTTTTTGCAGAAATCACGAATTTGATTTAATTTGAGGTGTGAGGAGAGGTAATAATGGAATTGAATGTCGGGGATGGTGGTGCCGGTGGGGTCGAGAAATCGTCGCCCGACATGTTAAAGAATACGCCGTCGAATATAAAGAGGTTGGCTAATGAGATTGAGCAGTGTGAGGGCAGGCAGAAGTATCTTGCTCATACTAGGAGTCCCTCAGATGGCGGTGATGTTCGCTGGTACTTTTGCAAGGTCCCTTTGGCAGTAAACGGTCAGTGCCTTGTTCGTTAAGAGAATTTATTTCTCGTGTTAGTTTCGATACGCGTTTCAACTATGTTCTATACTATTCGTTAGTAGATTAATGTACTGTTTTATTTATGTCCCTTGCGATCAACAGGATTGCTTTTAAGATTTTCATTAGAATTGGAGAAATTGAATTCGAGTTTTATGCTTATCTTAGATGCGTGTAATGTAGTCTGTTTGATCCAGTTAATGCCGTGTGGATGATTTTACACTGTAAAATATATACATGTTACGGGTACATTATGTTTTTGCTTCTGTGTTAGCCAAACATCCTAGATGAATGGATAAGTGTAGAAAGTTAGGAAAACGAATAAAGTACACCGTGAAATCTGAGGGAACACTTTATAGTTGTAATATATCATGTGACGAATGTTGCTTTCTGTTTCTTCAGAGCTAGCTGCATCTGTCCCTCGAACAGAAGTCATTGGGAAAGGTGATTATTTTCGATTTGGTATGAGGGATTCTCTTGCAATAGAGGCATCTTTCTTGCAGGTTATCTCATCTTCTTTATCTGTTGTTGTTTTTTCTCGTTTGTTTTTTTTCATATATCACCCTACTGCTTGTATTAGGAAGGGTAATATATATGAAAAGTGATTATATCAGTATACTGGATGCTGAGTGATATTTGTGGTGTTGGCAGAGAGAGGACGAGTTGCTCTCGAGTTGGTGGAAAGAGTATGCAGAGTGTAGTGAAGGCCCAACAGGACCTAGCACGATTTCCAAGTCTACCCAACAGACGAAAGATTTGTTTCCAGAGAGTCCTGAATATGCAACTGACGAAGAAAGAGTCGGTGTCCCAGTAAAGGGAGGGTTATATGAGGTATCCTCATCAACTGTATTTACTTGTAGTCCTATTAGCAATTTCATTTATAGGGCATACTGATTACACGAGATAGATAATTATCTAATTGCCTAGTACTGCCAGAGATTTTCCAGGTTTTCATATTTGTATATTGTGGTTCTCGTTGGTTGGTACATATCTCTTTATTAAAGTTCGTGTTGTTGTTCTTTTATGATTGCTTCATTTCTACTGTTCCGATTGTGAGTGTTGAATGTAATAAAACACAAAGTTTGAATATGTTGGCAACAGCCATCATTTTGGCTTGTTACTCTCGGAACGTGTGACATATATTTCTATATCAGTTGCCGTTGAATTGTGTTTCTCAAATTCTAAAAACATCCAAATCATAATTTTTGCACCTCATTTATAGCAATTACGATGTCTATAAAGACTACGTAGATCACCCATTCCATGGGCGCATAAGTTCTCTGTATGAAAAAAGAGAATATAAATTGCTAACTGGCAATATAATTTGCAGGTAGATTTGGTCAGGAGGCATTGTTTTTCTGTGTACTCCAGCGGAGAGAACCGGCGGGTCCTACGAGGCCACTGGTTTGCTCATAAAAGTGGTCATGATTGGCTTCCACTGCGTGAGGATGTTTCTGAGCAATTGGAGTATGCATATCGCACTCAGGTTTACTCTAATTCTTTCATTGGTGTTCTACTAGTTGAATAATGTGATAGAATGGTATTTTGATGTAATACATTGTCATGTTTGTCAACATCGTGTATGTCGCCAGTCTTTTCAAATTTCCCTTTTATCTTTTAGGTGCATGTTATAAGCTTCCCATCAACTTTTTTCCCGTTTTCTTTACTGTAATTTTCTTTTGTATTATGTTCTTGGATCACTCTAGGCTGATGTGTCAAAAGACTTAATAAAGAAGGCTGCCTGATTTTCTTTCAGGTTTGGCACCGAAGAACCTTTCAGCTTTCAGGTCTTTTTGCTGCTCGAGTTGAATTACAAGGCTCTAAAGTATGTCCCTCTGCTTTAGCTTAAAGTTGCATAAATATGAGAAGTAACTATATACATGCTTTATGATTGCAGGGATTGCATGCCCTTTTCACTGGGGAAGACGATACATGGGAAGCTTGGCTAAATGTTGATGCTTCTGGGTTTTCTGGTGTTGTAGGTTTTGGAGGTAAAGGCGTTAAGTTAAGACGTGGATATGCTCCTTGTCAGTCACAGAAACAAACACAGGTAATCCATATCACTGGTAGTTGTTTTTTGCTAATCGACTACGACGCATACACATTTCTTCAACATTGGCAACTTTTAATTATTGGTCTCCTTTCTCTACACTGGATGTTGGACTACGAGAGGGTGATTAAAAAAAAAAACACTATCATTTTGATGTCCTTGAAAATTAACTGATTTGTGCAATGCATGGACAGTCAGTTTATGAGTTGTTTCAGATTTAATCTCCGGAGTGTTATTTCAGGATGAATTCCGTCAACAGAAGGAGGAGGAAATGGATGATTATTGTTCACAGGTATACATCCTGAATGTTTCGGTATAGTATGATAGTCTTGAGTTTATATGTGTGTGTCAGTGTGTGTGTGTGTGTGTGTGTACAGAACTTTCTATATTTTGAAAAATTAGGCTGCAATGATTGTTGCTATTGGAAAACTGCCTTCCTGTACGATAATGTTTGCCTGTACATACTGCTGATTTGCCAAGTAAGAATGGACTTTCCACTTATTCATAAAATTAAACCATAGCATAAACCTGGTTGGTAATTATTGCTATGCAAGAATAGCTAATCTTTTTTCCATTTTAGGCCCAAAAATATTTTTCTCAAGATAAGACTACTGAAAGGCCCTGCGTAGAATTTGACCCAATATTTATACTAGCTTCTTCACAAATTCAATTTCTTGATTAGTTACTGCCTACTGATGAGATTAGAATGCCAACATATATGCATGTTTAATATTTTCTTCAGTTTTATGTATGTGAGAAATTGGATATAGTGAAACCTAGATATAAAGGATCTCTCCTTGTTTGGGTATTTTTTTTATTTTTATTTTATGAATATATAGACTCTTAATTTTCAATCTTCAAAATGTTGCTTCAACTTAGAAATATTGAGCACTATCCTTTTATAGAAACTATGGTGAATGTTTTAATGTCCAGAATTGTTTTCCTCAAGGATGTATCGATGATGAGCCACCACGAAATACAAAGTTACTTTTACTTCGACCAGTAAATCTTGTTTCCTGTTGTAGGTTCCTGTTCGACATTTGGTGTTCATGGTTCATGGTATTGGTCAAAGGTTGGAGAAGTCTAATCTGGTCGATGATGTTGTGGACTTCCGCCTTGTAACCGCCAGCGTAGCTGAAAGACATTTAACTACTCACCAACTTGGCAGTCAGAGAGTTCTTTATATCCCTTGCCAGGTACATTGTTCACTTCCTTAATTTATCACCCTTGTTAATTTGTTATAATTCGTTGTGTTCCTGTTTTACTTGCAATACTCTCCTGGTGGTTGTGTTATTGTTATTTTTGCCTTTGACAGTGGAGGAAGGGCTTGACATTTGACGGTGAAGTTGCAGTCGAAAAAATCACATTAGATGGTGTACGAGGGCTACGTACCATGTTGAGTGGAACTGTTCATGATGTATTATACTATATGAGCCCTATCTATTGTCAGGAGATCATAGACTCGGTACCCCCTACTTAATCTCTTTCCTTCTCGTTTTCTCTGTCTACCCTTTTTTTCTTGCCTTTTCATCAAATACTTTTAGGTGTATTTAGTTTCTTATTTGCTCCGTTCTGGTTTTTGCAAAGGACTCGTATGCATTTCCCTCGATTTTGTGTGCATATTCAGTTTAATTTTTGTTTGATTGTTTGGTCAGTTATTACTTATCAGGAAAGAAATCTATTTTTTTTTTTTTTTCTAGTGGAGTAAAATAAGAAATCTATATTCTTTCCATTTTCACCGAGAAATTCACTGATTCAGTTCTATCAATATCGTAGTGTTTTTTGTTATTTTTCAGCATCCTTTCGATTGTCGAGAATTTGACCTCATTTTGCAAATCCGGAAGAATGCGATTTTTTCAGCAATGTTAATTAATTAACCTTTGTATCCATCAATTAAGCTCTTCTTCCTTGTCATGTTCAGGTATCCAACCAACTTAACAAATTGTATTTGAAGTTTCTTAAGAGGAATCCTGGTTATGATGGGAAGGTATGTATTTGGCCAATAGAAAATTTTCAATTTTATTTTATTATAATTTCACTGTTCAAGGTCAAACGGAGTTGTCTAACGATGAATCATCATTTGCAGGTTTCCATATATGGTCACTCTCTAGGAAGTGTTCTATCTTATGATATCCTTTGTCATCAAGAAACTTTGTATTCGCCCTTTCCGATGGATTGGATGTATAAAGAACACAAAAAAGGCGAGGCGCCTAATTGTGTCGAGAATAACTTAACATCTAGCTCCAATTCCGTCTCGAATTTTGGCAATGAGAGCTCTGAGAATATTGAAATTGAGAACACACTCAGTCATCTCGATTATCCAGACCTTTTCGAAGAGCCTGTGGAAGGTGCTTTTAAACCACAGAGTCCTCCTGCATCTTCAGAGTCTGATGTGTCAACTACAACTGAAATTGGTTATCAGCAGACAATTGATACCTCGTCGTTAGATGAAAATACCATTGAATCTTTTGACAAATCAAATCACATTATGAATTACCCGAATACCATGGGAACTGAATTACCGCGTGACGACAGTATCGACGAGAAAGATTTTTCTGATGATAGTAAAGCTGAAACGATTAAACTGTTGACGGAAGAGGTAATTTTTTTATTATTTTTTTAAAATGTTGCCTATTCTGATATCTTTATTTACCTTCTCACGTATCGTTTGTCTCTCAGATTGAATTGCTGAGAGCAAAAATTAAAGGATTTGAAACTGAATGTGCTGGCGAAGGTATGGATTTATTTGTTTCAATGTGGTCTCGGTGCTTGTTTTAGACCGTACTTGTTCAATTTTGAATTTTCTAGTTGTTTATAAGTTGAATTTGCATTGTTCGTAATAATTGGTACCAGCTAATGCAAAGAAGAGTACAACAGAAGCAAAACAGTCCGATCCCGAGAAAGTTCAACCTGAGCATACAGATTCCTTGAAGAGTTATACCCCTCAAATTAGATACACAAAATTAGAGTTCAAGGTGAATCTTTTTAAATATTTTCCATCCTTGTATGTTGGTTTTAGTACACAAATCTACATTTCATGCCGAGTTTGTTAATTAGATTAATAAACATCGTTTTGATGTCAGGTTGACACATTCTTTGCTGTTGGGTCTCCTCTTGGAGTTTTTCTCTCTCTACGCAATGTTCGTATTGGAATTGGTAAATAGCCGAGACTTGATACTTGCATGTACCTATATTACTTTCTTTCTTCTCGTTCCTTTGTAAGTTAAGCTTAATGTCTGTGTTTAAAATTAGGCTTGTATATGTTGGTTTTCGGGCGGCATCAATTGATGCTCATTTTTGCTTGTTACTGCAGATCAAATCAAATGAATAATTACTTAATTATGAGCTCTTTATTGAGGCGATATTTAACAAGTCATTACTCATCTACTACAAAAGAAAACTAATAATGATTTATTTTTTAACATTTGTATCGAGATATCCTCGTGATTTTCTGATTCGTCAGAATTTGGATACAGTTGGCTAAAACATCTTCTTGTGTTTGGTTGCTAGGCAAAGGGAAAGAATACTGGAAAGAGGATAATATAAATGAAGAGATGCCGGCATGTCGGCAAATGATTAACATCTTCCATCCTTGTGATCCTGTAGCATATAGGTTTTTCCTTTACACATTTCATCATATTTTATTATTTAGTAATTTTTCTCAGCAGACCTTATATTAATTATTATTTGTTTGATACACAGACTAGAACCACTTATATGCAAAGAATTTTTGCACAAACAACCTGCCATTATTCCTTATCACAGAGGTGGGAAGCGGCTTAATGTCGCCTTTCAGGTGAGGGCTCTATAAATTCCTCAAAAATTATAAATTTTGCAATTTCTCTTCTTATTCTCTGTTCTTATAATATGTCATATAGGAATTTAACGAAGGGTTAGCTTCAAGTTCTCGAGCGTTATTGGATCACTTGAGCACCATAAAGGTAGGTTGCTATTGTTTTTATTTTCAAAATATCTTCAACTTTGCCATTGATAATTTTCCGGTGTATATCATGTTTTGATTTATTTATGAGGCTAATTGAGAGCTTTTTTAATAGGTTAAAGTTCTGAGATTCTGTGAATCGAGACACAACGATGACCAAGACGGTAATTAATTACCTTATCTGCTTTATTGCTCCTCTGGCAATTAGTTTGTGTTAATTTTTTCGCCTTCTATTCATGCTATATTGAGATTGAAAATTGTTTTCAGTCAACAGCATTACGTATTTATTTTACTTATAAATTTATTGCTATGTCTCTAGCAGATGAATCTGAAAACACCCAAGAAAAAGAAGAAAGGTCATATGGCTCACTTATGATGGATAGACTAATGGGAAGTGAAGGTGGAAGAATCGATCATGTATTACAAGTACGTCGCATCCACTAAAAAATATTCGATATTCTTCTAATAGTCAAACCAGCGTTCATTTATCTCATTCACTTTCCTTAATGCAGGACAAAACATTTCGCCACCCGTACGTATCGGCAATTGGCGCACACACGTAAGCTTCATCTTTTCTAATCTAGAACCAGCAATTGATTAAATCTGGAAATATAATAAAACCCTGGAAATGAAATTTGATTTTGACGATTAATTATTTTTGGCAGAAACTACTGGAGAGATCACGATACTGCTCTATTCATGTTGAAGCACTTATATCGAGATATACCAGAGGAAGAACCTGTCTTGCATATTGAGGATCTCAAAGAAGGCAGCTCGAACGATGAAAATAGACTGAACAAGTGGTCCGATCCAAGGGAGGTGGCTGAAGAAGAACTCCCGTTGACTTTTGCTGATAGTCTCTCCATAAAGCATTTCTCTCACAAAGTGAAGAAAATAGCAAATAACTGAATGATATATACATATTTTTAGACAACCCAATTTGTTCCAGTAGTTTTTACGATTTTCTTCAGGCAATCATCTTCATCGGTTAGAAAGAGGATCTTCTATACGCAAAGAAAAGGTTAGGTTTTGTACAACATAGGACAGATATGGATAGGGGAACGAGTGTACGAATGTTAATATAAATATATTTATCTTGTTTCCCGTAAAATACGTAAACATGGGCGTTTTTACGCTAGTTCCACGTCAGCTATACTTGGAGACAGAAAACTCATTCTTGCTCGTCATTTGATGAGTGCTTGTTCTTTTTTGAGTGATGAATTATTACTCGCAAAATTAGATAGTTGTAACTGAAAACAGGACAAATCTTTGTCAAAATTGGTCTCAAAAGTAAATACGAAAAAAAATAAAAATTTATACTTGTATGCAGCAAGAATAGGGGCTGACACGAGAAATAGTAAACAATAAATTTCGAACGGAGGTATCATTAAAAGGGACAGTAAGCAAAAGTAATAAAGAATCTACAAGATCCTTTCGAATAAGTATCCAAACAACGACATCACCGCATCAAAATCATCAACAGTTTTACAGTTAACATGTCAAATTTAACAAAACTGCATTTTCATTCGATCAGTACTCAGTTCAAGACTTGTTCGCCTTCTGTTTGGCCTTCTCTATGAGAGGTCTCAACTGCTTCTTCTCGGCGAGAATCTTCAAAAAGTTGAACAAAAACGGAATATAATTATGCTTCCTCCGAATATTCTCAGTCCTCCACTTCTTGAACTTCTCCTCCTCCATCAGTATCTTCTCAGTCGCACTTTCGATCCCACCATTTATCTCCAAAAGTGTTGTATTCAGCGCTTCCACATTTCCTCCATCAACCATTCTCTCCGACTGCAAAGCCGCAAGCTGCTGAAGAATTCTCTCTCTCTTCCTCTGCAAATCTTTTAGCTCGGCAGTATAAATCTCTTTCCTGTTCTTTATTATCCCCATTAGATTGAACCTAATCTCGTTTTGCGAGTACCTCTCTATACGCTCTTGAATAACCGGTTGTACCAAACGTAGCCAATCGATATCACCTTGACCACCGGAGCATTGACCGAGGCTTATGGGCCCCTCCTTAAGCCCATCTAGCTCGTAAAGTACACCGTCAACAGGTATATAGCTTATGAAGTGATAGACATCGTCGTCTTTTCCAGATGCTCTTTGCTCTTCAGGTACAAATGGCTCGGGCCTTGCAAAACTGTTGTGTGCTGTACGGATTGCTTCACTGTTGTTGATGGCCAGACCTTTGAGCTCGGACGGGAAATTTTTGGTGAAGTCTTTGAGTGCCGACAGCTCTGGCCCAATATCAACTTCGGGACTGTTCATCAGAATTGAGAGGATTGCTTGAGTTGCACAGGCGTTATTTATCACCTACAATTGGCAGCGGGGGTTAAAGAGTCGGATATTTGTTATGTGCAATTGGAAGTTATGGTGGGGGATAATACCTGGCTGGCGAAAAACAAGTTTGGGTTTGGATCCTTTATTACAAGACGATCATCCTTTTCTCCGGGACGCCATTTGAAGAGGAATATCAGCCCATACACTGGCCTGTAAATCAGACAAGAAAGAAAATAAATGCAAGAGCAACGAACATGAGCTGAAATTTAGGGAAAGAAGGCATTACTTATCGGAAGGGGGAGATAAAAGAATGACGTGGACTAATCAATTTACCTCAGACTATCCAGAGAATCGAGATCCAATGAATACAGCTCCTCAACCTGCTTCAGCATATTAAATGAAATGAGAACCTGTTCAGAACAATCTATATAGGAAAACTACAAAAAGTGAAGGCAGCCATCATATTAGTTCCACATCTATACTCACTTCCATTGACAAAAACATCAAGCTTATATTAGATGATGCAGCCAAATGATAGAGATCTAAACAATGGTTCTGAAGAAAGTTACATTGAATATTGATGATGTAAAGCTTATCTTCCTTTAGTCAATGGACAACTGCCAGCAGGCTAAAATTGCTACATGTGGGAGGATTTGGTATACTACTTCAGTGTCGAATTCTCAATAACTAAAAAACATGTCATGAATTTTCTTTATATAGAATGAAGCTTTGTAAATGCAACATATCAGAAAGAGTTAATAATCCAATTAATTTTTTTCTCTTAATAGTTTCACCTTATAATGCTCAATAGAACAAAAGCTACAGAAAGAGGATACATTCTACATTCCTAGTATACCAAATTTGGACAGATAATATACTATACAAACGGTAGAGCTCCACCTTGGTTGCAACCATCGACCACGTTACTCTTAGTAAAAAGCATGATTACCAACCGCTTGAGTTTGAAATAAGAAAAAGTGGAGAAAGGAAAACATAATTTATTCATTATGCATCATTTTGAACTGGATATATATGAAGTACACCATGAAACCAAATCCTAGTGCACCAAGCGCTAATGGACATCTCAGTAAAACAGTACCTGAACGCCTTTAACTTGCATCTGCTGTATAAGTTCGGTAAAAACACCTGCAGTGCAAGAACAAACATGATAATATGCATGTTTACTATCGGGAAACTTGAAAAGAAATCCAAGTACATACTACAAGGAGAAACTTGTATCTCAGAGTGTGGAACAGTTCATGCAAGTATCAAACAGGTTAATCTATGTAAAGAAAAACAAATATGTTTATATAGACACACACACACACACACACACACATACACACACACACATGCTTGTGCCCCATAGGGAATTTCGGCATATTTACCATCTTAAATGAAGATATTCAACAACCGAACATATACCACTCTCCAACACAACAACATGCAAAAGGGTAACACCATCTTCACATGCAAAACAAAAGTCCAAACAAATACGAAACTTCTACATCCTGGTTCCAAATGAGCTTTGAACCATACGCAATATATTATGCTAAACTAAACAGCAAAAATAAAACCATGTTTAATATCTGAATCACTCCTCTCAAGTATTTATCACCACACAGTGTACTAGCTATATCTCTCTCCTTTTTTGTTTCAATTCACCCTATATTTTTTTATTTCAAAGGAGATGAACCCATTATCATTCAAATTCAAGAAACAGAAATACAAAATCAAGCATCAATATACATACCAGGATCCGACTCGATAGTGCACCAAGACATGATTTAAATCCACTGCAAAAAACATTACGAGAATTCCAAAATTAGGTATTCGAGTGTAAAACCGCAATCAATCCAGACCACCGTTCAGAATCCCACAATTGAAATACATAAACAAAAAAAAATGTCAGGAATTACAAGCACATCAATACACAAAAGGACTGAAACCAAAGAATTTTACCATTAAAAAAATTATTGTTGCTAAAATATAGCTGCCTCGTACTCCATGCTTTTTTCGTTTCAATCAACATCAACTATTGCAATTCTACTATTGACGGGAGCGAAGAGAGCATACCTAGACGATTTCGACCGGAGGCGGCAACGACGGTGGTTCAGTACTTGAGAATGGGGGTTTCTTTTCTGCAGACTCAGGCAATTCGATGGGTTTTGGTGGTGAGTTGTGGGGTGTGGTGACGACACTGAATTTGGGTCGGGTTTGTTTGATATCCAGTGGGTCGGGTCTATTTTCAGTCGGATTTTATTAAATATAAATTTGTTTTAGACTTCAATTAATTTGATAATTTCAGTTTAATCCATCGCTAAGCAAAATGATTAATTATATTATTAATTTTTTTAAATTTTCTTTTTGATAAGAATTATTTTTTTAATTTAAATTAACTACTATTGAAAACATACATTGTGACCATTCAAAGGTAGGGGGCCTCCCAAAGAATATGTATAGGCCCAAGTTAACTTGTGGATGATCCAATTAAAAATAATTATAAGGGTCAATTTGATATGCACCCCTCATATGGAAAATATATAGGGCTAGGTCCACCCCTAAAATCTTCCTTTGAGATACACCCCTGGAGAGAAAAAAATACTATTATGCCCTTATGTGCAATTTTTGCCCAACTGCACTCTAGTATTTCGCCAACTGCATTCAATATTATTGCCAACTGCATTTAATATTTTTGTACATGCATTTATCATTTTTATAGATTTTTTTAATAAAAAATATAAATGTTTATTTTATTATTATTTTATATATATACCCGTATTGGACTTGGTTTTATTCTTTTACCTTTTTTTTGATTATTTTTTTATTTTTAATTTTTTTAATTCTTAATTTTTTTTTTAATTTTAAATTTGAATTTTTTAATTTTTCAATTTTTAATTTTTTAATTTTTTTCAATTTTTTTTAAAATTTACTGTACTGAAATTGACTATACATGACTATAGTATAACAGTCACGTATAGTTATATATGCTCATATACCTTCTTTTTACTTCGAAATTGTGTATAGGCATGTGCCTTCTTTTTACTCCAAAATTATATATTGTCATGTATAGTTATATATACAGTCGATCGATTGCGTAGACCGCTAATTATATACAAAAAATACTTCATCGACACCAACTAAAAAAATCACAATTTAAATCTTGATATTATATATCAATTTGTATAAATATAGATATACACAATCACATGCATATATTATTCAACAAAAGAACAAATCATCATCATCACTCTACATTAAAAAACCCACATAATCCAGACATGACCGCATGTTACTATATGTTACTATATATGACTATAGTAACATATAGTAATGTTACTATATGTTACTATATAATGACTACAGTAACATATAGTAATGTTACTATACGTTACTATATATGACTATAGTAACATATAGTAATATTACTATACGTTACTATATATGACTATAGTAATATATAGTGGTTTTCTATACTCTGAATGGGTTTGACTTTATAGCGCACTTCTCCCCATCATTCCTTACTGTATTAGAAGTAGCAAAAACAACAATCCTGTAGGAAAAAAATACGAGTTAGAGAAAAAGAACATAAATTGCAAAAATCCGCGATAAGCAAGCCTAATTTTAACACTACCGAGCATAAAAAAAGGACAATTTTGAAAAAGCAATTGTGGCACTGAGTACAAGCAAAATAAAACTCATAATTCACAAACAGGTAGTACAAAGAAAATACATATAGTAAAGTTACCATTCAAATTGGATTTGCCTACTCCATAACAATCTGCGCATTTTCATAAAGAAGAAAAGAAAAGGACAAATTTACAGTAATTTGAATAGTAAAAGAGTGAAGATGAGAACACATACTTGGAGATTGAGCTCTTAAACCCACGAAAGACTTTGCTAGCACAACTCTTATTAGGAATAATTGAGGAATTAGAACTAGAAAATTAAACTTCAATTTTTGAGAGAACAGAAAAAAGAAACAAATAGTACAAAGAAAATACAAATACTAATCAAATCAAAGCAGAGCAAAACATATTGTTTGCAAAGAAACATTAGGTGCACGGTGCACCCATTTTAGTCCCCCACATCATTTGATTCCCAAATTAGACAAAAGTCGCATGATTCAAATTTTCTGCAAACACAAAAAAAAGCCCCAAATTTCACTTTGAAAACAACGCACACACAAATAAACCAGAACCTAAATCCGCCAAACAAAACAAAATCAGAACCTAAAATAAAAAATAAAAGGTGGAATCTTAACTGAAACAAACAAAATCAGAACCTAAACAAAGAACTTTTCTGGAGATTCTAGCACTCGGAGGAACGGCGATGCAAGTGAAAGGTAGAACGGCGGTGGGCGGCGGTGGGGCGCTGATTTGCGGTGGGTGGCGGAGTGGCGTTGAGCGGCAGTGGACGGCGGTGTGGCGCTGATCGGCGGTGGGTGGCGGGGTGGCGTTGAGCGGCAGAGTGACGGTGGATCTAGAGAGATGGAAGAGAATGGGAGTTGGGAGAGAATAGATCGAGAAAAGTAGGCGAGAAGATAAAACATGGTTTTAGGGTTTTAAACTGCAAGGGTAAATTGGTCACGTCACTTAAATCCAGGGGGTCTAACAAATTAAGTTCCAAAATTGGGTTTTTGCCTAGGAAAGAAAAAATCATTGGACCTACACATATATATTTTCAAAACTAGGGGGATATCCCTCATTTTCCCTAATTATAAATCATTTAGGTAATGCAAATTATAATTATAAAACACCAACTATAAATTCACATTATTACATATTATTATTTAAAATGGTGTATTCAAAGTGGTATTAAAATATAAACAAACCATTACAATAACTAGTTTTAAAAGTCATGTTTTAAAAAATAATTTAAATTGAAAATACTAATTAAAAATTGCAAGAGAAGTTTGTGGTCGGCTTTTTTGTTTTGCAAGTGCGTTCAGTAATCGATTTCTTAGATTCTATTTCATTGCACATTAAACCTTCAATTGCATCTTCTATTATACTCCATTCTAAAAGACAAATTATCAAATTACGAAAATTCCCATTATATTTCAATAATTACAACGACGTCTTTTAACTATGTATTATCTTACACTTTCACTTTTTACGGTGTCATATTTACTTACTAAATGACAAGTTTTCTCGTAAAAAAATACATAGTTGAGGAGGTGTTTGTAATTATCCAAACATAAAGGGTATTTTCGTAATTTAAATTTACATCAACAGTGGACGTAATTTAAATTTGAATTTTCTAGAAAACATGTAATTTGAAATTGAGTGGTAAACAAAAGAGTAACAAACTGTTGGCTTGTTGACCAATAAGTCAGCTCAAATTCTCTGTCCCATACATAGACAGAAACCCATTTGTCATTTTTCTACTCTCTTTCTCTCTCCTCTCTCTCTCCTCTCTCTGCACACTGTTGAACAACATCATTTTCCGCTCCCCAGTTTGAATTTTATTCTCCATCCACCACCACCATCGCCGCCGCCGTACACACTCATACCAGAGGTAAAATGCCAATCAATTCACAGAAACCTAATCCTTTTTTTTTCTCTTTTTTTCAGGGTAATAATCAAATCTAAAGCATCAAAAAAAAATTCAAAATTCCACCACCTTTTGTAGCTCTTTACTACACCCCGTAGGGAAGTAATGAATTCTGCAATTATTATTATTTATTACTTTTTTATTGTTGATTTGTATAATAGTTTGTATAATAGTAGTATATAGGTACACGCGCCTCCGTAATAAGTGTTCTCATTTGCCTTCTTCACTAGGATTCTCCATTCTTCCATTTTCCCCCATTTTTGCTTCTTCATATACTTGTTCATTATACGTTTGCTTCTTCTTCGTCTGGTAAAAACTTAAAAAAAGGTGCGTTGTTGTAATATTGGTTATACGAACGTCAATTACTTCCATATTTTTTTTGTAATTGGATTAATTTTTGCAGGGGAAAAAGAAAAAGCAATGTGGGCTATGGAGATAGGTGTTGGGTGGATCAGCAATGCGGGTCATGCCACTCAAACCAAAGCATTGCACTGGTTTTCGTCGATGTTGGCTGGTATTTTCATGTGCAGAATTGTAAGTGTTCCTTCTTTTCAGAGTGATCCAATTTTGATTATTTGTTCATTAATTTATTGAGTTTTCTACTTCTTGTTGACTGTTTGGGCTTATGTTTTTAGTTGGTTTAAAATGATTTTGAATGATGCTTGTGGCGATTTTTATACGAGGGGAAGGAATGCCCCAAAATCGAACAAGATTGAGAATTATTTTCTCTAAAATTGGGATGTTCTTTGGAAATTCGAAGGCGAAATACCTTTGATAAACTCTTGCTTTAAAGAGATCCATCTTTTTTCGTTGAAGGTGTATGGCTTAACAGGTGTGATCAGCGCTTCGTTCGTGAAGGAGTATGGCAAGCTTAACAGTAAACAAAAACTAGAATGGAACAACAGGTAATTGCTTCTTTGCTCGTTTTGTTTTTGTTTTTTTTCACTTTCAAATTAAGTTTTAAGTTCCCCTAGTTTGACGATTGCTATTGCATTCTGAAATTTGAATAAGTGTTCGACTTTTTTATCCAGGGGGTTTTCCACTTTCCACGCCATTGTTGCGGCATCTATTTCTCTATATCTCTTGCTAGCTTCGGGCCTTTTTGATGATTCTCAAGATGAGTTGATGATCAATAAATCATCGATTTTATCAGACACAATTTTGGGGGTATGTTTAGTACAAATGCAGAGAGAAAATTTGGTTGATGTTTCTTGTTAGTTGTTGGTTTTTATCATCATGGAATAGCTGAAAATTGTATAATCTAGTTTAATCGGTTTTTCTCACTCACATTAGAGTAGTTTATTTTTTATTTTGCTTATAAAACTCGAAAAAATAGAAGATTGTCTCTTATTTTCGTTAATCTTGAAAAATCAACAATCTCCTTTAAGAACCAATTCCCTTTATCTATTTGCCAGTAGTCAGCTTTCATTTACAACTTTGAAAATCGTACTTTTATGTTTCATCGGAACATGCTTTTAAAACACCTATGTTTCTCCCTTCTTAACGATACAGGTTTCGATCGGTTACTTTCTATCAGACTTGGCGATGATATTCTATTACTACCCTGCCTTAGGTGGTACAGAGTATGTAAGTTTATGTATCCCTACCAACTTTAGTGCTTATCATGCATGTGCTACTGATTTTTCTTTCTCCGATCAATTTTATTCTCTTTGCAGTTACTTTTCCGAATATGGATATACAGATGAAAATATCATAAACACTTTATAAATTTCTCCTTCTATTCAAAATAAATTAAGAGCGGTGTTCATCTTGCTTATTTTATTTATTTTGCTAGGTGATACATCACGGACTCTCCATGTATTCAATTATACAATCCCTTTTGAGCGGTCAAGCACATATTTACATTCTAATGGTTCTCTTTACTGAAATCACTACTCCGTTTGTTAATCTTAGATGGTAAGCTTAGAAATAATTTATTCTAATTTCATCCTTATTTCATTTTTAAAAACTATCTATTTACTCGTTTCTTCTTACACACTCAGGTATCTTGATGTTGCCGGCCTAAAGAATTCTAAGCTTTACGTCTACAATGGTGTGGCTTTGTTCTTGGGGTGGTTGGTACGTACCGCCTTATTAAACTTTTAGAATATCCTATAACAAGTTTAATGTATTCCGAATGTGACTTACTCCATTTTATTTTATTATTAATTTGACTGCACATCACGATTAAGTCGTACTAACACGTAAACTTTTGAACCCCCAGGTTGCTAGGGTTATTCTATTCGTCTTCTTTTTCTACCACATGTTTACCTATTTTGATCAGGTGAGTATGCGTTCGCCGCTTAAAGTAAAAATCACTGAAAATCCTCTGCCAACGAAGTTTTAACGACGATGTTCTTGTTGAAGATGAGACAGTTTTTTTTTTTTTTTTTTTTTTTTTTTTTCGGTTAATGTTTCAGGTGAAGCAAGTGTACCCGATGGGATTTTACAGCTTGCTCATAGTACCACCTGCTATGGCTATAATGAATTTGTTCTGGTTCTGGAAAATTGCTAGAGGTATGATCAAAACACTGGGCAAGGCAAGACACAGCCAATAGATAGTACTTCTTTTACCATGTGAATATCGACGGAATGCTTCGGGGAGTTCGAAAATAAACATAGATCCAAAAATTCATCAAGAATTTTCCGGGTTTCCGACCTTTACTTTGTTTCCATGAGAAGCACCTCAATCCTCAAAATTCCAATTCTAAAGTATAGATAAAGCAAGAATCTTGTAATAGTATGAAAGTTTCACTTTGCATCAATGTGAAACTTATCTCTAAAGCAAAAGCTTCTAACATTTAAGTTTATAATGTGATATTAATTAATTAAATATTATTACTAAAGTTTGATTTTCAGTTTTTAGCAATATGTTATTACACAAAGAAGCATATATAGGTGTTTGATTCAATGACTCAAAAGACTTGTGGGTGAAAAAAGTATTTGCCAGGTATTTACTTTGTTGATCAAATCTATAGTACGACTATTCTATTATAAAATTAACATTGAATAAAAATATGGGTAAATTACGGATACCCCCAGAGGTAATGTCAAATTGCGAAAAAGTTCTTCATGTTTGGGTAATTACAACTACTCATCAACTATAAATCTTCTTACGCGTCCACTCTTACGGTGTCAAATTTAGTGGGATTTTCTATATTATGTGAAATATTCTCCAATTTGTACCCGTTTTACCCCATTCGAGCTCTACATTTTGAAACAAGATGATCATAAAATGTGTGTCTTGGTTTGTACATATCAGATTGTGGTGTATTAAAGCTGCATTTTTTGCATAAAACGAGTACAACTATAGAAGTTAGAACATTCCACGGAATCTAGAAGATTATGTTGAATTTAATACCATAAGGGTGGACGTGTAAGAAAATTCATAGTTAATGGAGGTAATTGTAATTATACAAACATGATGAGTTTTTTTTTTTTCAATTTAACATTAGCTTAGGGGTGACCGTAATTTATCCTAAAAATATATTATTCATTTCCAAAGTTTATTTTCTTGAAAACTACACATAGTGAAGGTGGGAAACGGTCATAAGGCGACCGTTAATACCGGTATAATTATAGTATGTTACCCCACCTCTTTCTTGGTCTTCTTGTTTCCCACTCTTTTCTCTTATTTTCTCCATTTTTCACTCACCCATGACTTCATTTAACCATAATAACATTATTATTATTATTATTATTAAATCTACAAGCAAACTAATTTAATTTTCTTGGACATTTCATCAAACATGTGGAGAACTCAGGGTATCAACCTCTTGAACCGGGCCGTTAATTCCAGGCTGGGGCCCGCTCTGTTTTCCGGCAGCCAATTTTCTCGATCGATGATGGCCCCGTCGTTTCACCGTTACTGCAGCAGCTCTGCCGTGAGCGGCGGCGGCGGCGGAGATGGCGGTACGATGAGTTACGCGGAGGCGAAGAGGCTGCTGAGGCTGGTGAATGTGGAGGCCTTGAAGGAGAATATGGGTACTAAAGACACTGAAGTTATACCGTACGACGAGCTTGTGAACTCGTGCCTGAAAATGGGCGTCGCTAAATCCGCCGACGAGGCCGCCGCCTTCGCCAGAGTTCTTGACGACGCCGGCGTCGTTTTGCTCTTCCGCGACAAAGTGTACCTTCATCCCGATAAGGTTCTTCCTTTCTTGATTTCTTTCTCAAATGACGATCACTAATACGAAACTTTTTTTTCTCCTCACCCGTTGGAATCATGGTATGCGCGTTCTCGATCGCGTTTACTAATTTAGTTAGCGACGAGAAGCTAAGAGCATAAATCGTCTCTTTAATTGTGATTCTAAATTCGCAGGTGGTCGATTTGGTTAGAAGAGCGGTACCACTAGCTCTTCTACCCGAAGACGACCCACAAAAGGGCGAACTAAACAAGCTCCAAGAGCAAAAGGACGAAATCGACATGCTAGCCCACAAGCAGGTCCGTCGGATACTATGGACGGGCCTCGGGCTAGCAATGACACACATCGGGCTCTTCTTCCGTCTCACGTTTTGGGAATTCTCGTGGGATGTGATGGAGCCCATTACTTTCTTCAGCACCGCTTCGGGTTTGATCATCGGCTATGCCTACTTCATGTTCACTTCGCGGGACCCCACTTATCAAGATCTTCTCAAGAGACTGTTTTTATCGAGGCAGAGGAAACTCATCAAGAGGCGCAATTTCGATGTTCGAAGATTTGTGGAGCTTCAGAAACACTGCAAGTTGCATCATCATTCGTGTGCGATTATCAGAATTATTCGGCGATCCCGGTA